CATTCGCTGTAGAAACAGATCGGGCGCTGCAGGGAACAGCCTGGGTGCTGTCTCCGTGGCGAAGATGTGCATGAAGAATTTGGATTGCTCGGATGACAGGGCTGACGAGAGATGAAGGGATGGTTGATTGGCCAATGCCTCTAGGCTCTGGATAACATCCAGTTGGTCCTGTCTATCAATTGCAACTCCTGTGCGAGGTGCACTGAGCTGCTGTTTCGCCGGGCGAGGTTTGACTGCCTGGCCAACGACACTTAGATTGTATACGCACCCTTTGGGATAACGCTGACATCGTGTGCATACAGGCTTCTGCAAGTCGCACTGTAGGTAATCGTTAGTCAGGGCTTTCCAGGCTTTAATTGATTAGGATGAGACTACTTTGACTTTCTTCCTTCTGCACTCAGTGCAACCGTCTCGTCGCCGCTGAGAGGCTTGCATGCTGTCATCGTACGATAAGAGGCATGTGTAGCAAAATATACAGCCACCAGACTATGTTTGAAGTCATGAGACGGTTGGACTCTTGAATAAAAGGCTAGCAAAAAGCCTTAAATCGATATACTTCGTCTTCCATGTCCGGGAAACGAAAGAAGGAGCAATGGATGACCAAGCACGCTAGATGGAAAGAAAGATTCAGGCACTAACCCATTTATGGACATTTATCCGATCCAACCAACCGCCGTCCCAACCGTCCTTTACGTGGTTCTTAGTAACTTGAACTTGGAATCTCAATCCATGCCAATCTACTTGATCATATCGTGGCTAAGGGATACAATGAGGATTATTCATTCTCGAAAGAAAAGGGCCGTACAGGCTGTGATGCTATCTAAAGACGACAATGACTTCGAGTCAGTTTCCAATACGCCGTTGCTCCCAGGTCCAAACAAGCGATCAAGTAGATATGCAAACCCTGTAACAAATATCAAACCCATATATCATCAATCACCATGCACCAGCATCAAAATCGAATCGAGCCAGCTCTTTTTGCGAGTCTTCGACATCCTTCTTCGCCTTCATACGCATATAGAAAATAGGACAGTCGCGAGACGAGCAGATGACCTCACAGTGCAAACTGCCCTGGCACCGCTGACATTGCGTCCACAGACGCCCGAAGCGGACCTCCAGGTCCGAAACCTTGTTCAAAGATCTGGTGTAGAGTTCACCCAGGCGAGGACGGCAGTACTCACACACCGCACCAGCCATTTCTTCTTTCCCTGACAGGGGTTTCTTGCAGCCCAAGCAGGTTTGGGTTTTCTTCGCAAACTTCATCAACCCTCCCATAGTCGGTGCCGCGACAGAGATGGATCGGGTGTGTTCGCCAGTCAGAAGCTGACTGGCCTTCTTCTCTCCAAGAATGGGCTCGAAAATACGGCCGAGGGGATTGGCGAGCTGGTTGTCAAGGTAATACTTGGTGTCGATGGGGATATTGTTCTCCAAGACATAGATGGGGTCTTCAGATCGCTCGTAGTTCTTCGAGCCACCAGCACCCTTCACAATGACGTATGCGACACGATCTCCAAGTGTAGGTGCAGAACCTGCATCACGCTTCCTCATGCGCTCCGCAAGCTCCACGTGTGCCTGCTTTGCTGTGTATGCATCCTTAGAAAGGGCTTTCGTAATCACCAATTTAGACATATCGATTTTGTTCTGCAGAAGATCCGAGATAGTGTCCTTGACATAGCTGCGGGGAAATTAGCAAGATGATTGTAACAGGGGAAATCGAATTCTTACTCTTGAGCGCCATCAATGTCTCTGTCAATGAGGATTTTATGCAACACTGTCTCGATGACGTTTTGTACCAACAAGCAATTGTCACGACGGACAGTCTCGATACCCTTGGTATCCATCTTGTCGTACTTCTTGGGATTCGTCCAATACAGACCGGCATACCGCTTCTTGTTGATAAGAAGGTAAGGGAAATAGACCTTTTCGAATTCAAGCTTGATGGGTTTCAAGAACTTCGAAGAGACATACTCAGACGCCTCTTGTCCAAGCTTCATTGCTTCTTCCAGAGAATCCACACCGAATTTGACCATAACAGAGTCAGTGTCTCCGTAAATGACCTTGGCATCATGGGAATAACCATTTGCAATGGTGTATCTGGCTTCGACTTCCTGCTTCGTTTTCTCGATCATCTGACGTCCATAACTAGTCGTGCTACTGGCGATAGCCAAGCATGGCAATTTTCCGACAGTTGCACCCGTAAGACCGTAAACACTGTTCGCACTGATCTTCAGAGCAAGCTGTCTTCCATTCAACACTGCCTTCTTGAACGGATCAGTCTCTACCGCAAGTTCCTTCTTGGCCCGCTTTCTAGCTGTCAATAACTCCTCGAGAATTTGCGATAGAAGACCTTTGCGAACGTTGGCTGTAGCGAACATATCTCCATTTGGTGTCACAATATAGTCTTCGTCCTTTTTGAGTTTGAGCCGCTCTACACTGCTCTTGTTCAGTAGTGTGGTGTAGCAAAGGTTGTGCGCTTGGATAATAGAAGGATATAGCGATGCGAAATCGAGAGTAGCGATTGGTACACCATAGTAGCCTCTGACAGGCTCAATGACAGTTGCACCCTCATAATCCTGCTCATCTGTGGATTTCATATTGGGGATGACAAGCTGTTGCTCCAGGGCCTTACGGAAGAGCTGACTGATGAACTTGACTTGTTGACCTCGTGACAACAAAAAGTTGAAAGGAACACCTGTGACTCTTGCCATTTCAGTATAGTTGACCAAACACATTAGCTTGTCCATCAGTCTCTGGGGCAAATAGGCATCCTTCAAACAGTAAACCGCTAAACGTCGCCTGGAATCTGGCGTGCCGTTATATAGCTCGGTGATCATCGTGTGATGCACATCTTCCTTTTGTTCTCCCAGGAACTCGTAGGAAACGGAGTTGAGTGTATAACTTCGCAGATGATGATCTCTCTGTACCAGCTGGAGAAGATCTAATTGGATTCTCCCATTGGTGTTTGTCGATTTCGTGTCACGGTTACCCATTTGTTTGCTGGAAAAGTTTGTTTCCTTGGCTTGGGACATCACCCCATTAAGTCGAGTCCAATAAGGGAAACCAGTACACTTCAGATGTTTGGCACGGTCCAGAAGGTATGGAAAGTCGAAGTTGGCTATGTTATATCCAATAATGACGTCTGGATCTACTTTCTCCACAAAGTCGCGCCAGGCCATGAGCATCTTGGATTCATCCTGGAACTCCAAAACCTGAGTATTGACGATAAGACTGCATGTATCCAAGACGAAGACATTGCGAATGAAAGGCTTCGACTCTCCGTAACGAGTAACAACATTCGCAATCTGGATGACGGGGTCGTGATTCGGTTCCGGGAAGATTCCCTTACGACCAGCGCACTCAATATCGAAAGAAAGAATGCGAAGGGGTGCCATCTTAGCCCACTCGCCGGTGGGATGATGCGAGATCAGATCGCGATAATCTATACTCGCTTCAATCTGGCAGTTCGACATCTTCTCACGAGGACCGAACAGCCGGTACTTTCCGGCCTTTGCCTCAACCCATGACATGCCAGAGATGTCCACATCAATCATAAATCGGAGGAGGTATTGAATGTTGTCGAATGTGAGGATACCACCATCTGAGTTATTCCAGAGTCCCTTGTAGTTGAGACTCTGCGCACCTCCGCTCTCCAAGGCTCCGCGCAATCTGCTGATGTGCTTGGGTTCCGTGACAGTGATCTTGAGATAGTAGCTTTTCTGATTGCCTTGGAAGCCATAAATGTTTTCCCTCATCGTTATTTGTACCGACTGAATTGTGGGCTGAAACTGTCCGATCCGGCTTTCGAGGAACGCTCGGTAGGGCTCGCAATCATCTTTCGTGAAGTTGACAGGTGCCGCGATATATAGATAATGTTGGAAACCAGTGACATGGAGCAGAACGGATTGACCGGCCTAGTAAGGACATAAGCAAACATCAGAGAGAAGGACAACTGCGCGACCATACCTCTGTGATACCAAAAAGGCGAACCGCGGTCTTCCCTCCGTGGATTGCACCCTCCTCCGCATCGATCTGTTGAAAACAGATACTATCCTTCGAAGCATCAAACTCACCGAGCGGCGGTCGCTCCCACTGCTGATCCTTTTCTGAATTGTTTTGCTTCAACCCATTCATGTCCTGGGTCAACTTCTCGAGAACTTCCTCCTCGAACTGGCTCTTTTGTGGCTGACTAGAGCCGGGAACTTTTCGCTGGGCCTGGGTGCCCTGGCTGCTTCTGAAAGATGGTCCATTTTCAAGCTTGCGTTTCTTCAGCGCAGTTGGTGACTTTAGACCGCTGCTGCGAGGGTTGTTTGTTGCCTCGCCCAGAACCCGCTTCTGGGGCATGGTGACGGCTTCAGGCATTGTGACTGCTCATATATCACGAGAGAAAAATGCAGATGTCCTTGACCGAAGCGCAGAGTAGAATTGAAATGCTTGTTGATCGGGAGGTTTGGGGCGGCAATGCTGGTGTCGCGGAAACCAACTGCGCTCCAATTAATGAAAGTTCGTGTCCCGTTCGCGCCGTGACGTGACACCCGCTAGTTACGCGTTGAGTGGGAATGTCACGTGATGATATGGCTGGGGGAATGAAGATCGACTCCGCATTATCTCCGGTTTCGTTGCTCCCATGGCTACATGTCGAACTGTGGGGTGTTATAATCTGCCTTTCTGTGCTGTTACAAACCTGAGGCCCTCCTAGGGATTACTCAGTAGCGATCATATTGCTTGTACGGAGTAGCTTCAATAAATAGCAGGTTCGGCTGTAGGAACGGATTCATTTTGGTTATATGGAATGGCACAAGCGCCTTTTATGCTTCTACACTACAATTCGTCTTTGGCCACCTTCTTGTGGAGATCGCAGTTCTTCGCTAAGAAGGCCTTATTTGAAGGACAGCTTCATACACGGTTCCACCCAGATCAGTACGACTCAATCGGCGCCTTGTCCTCCTATACACCACTGCTGGCTGCCTTCCCAACAATCTATTCTTCCCATACCGTCACTATTACCCTTGCGGCTGATATACGCTCATCTCGAGTCCATTGTTGAACGGGAGTGTAAGATTCCGAAAATCACTTCCAGGCGCACGCATGTAGTCAAGGAGTTCTTTGCAATGTTCTGCAGCACTAATCGTGTTGTCCGTAATGATGACAGCACCCGGTCTCAGTGCCGGCTGGACCAATTTCAAGGCTGGAAGCAGCATCGGGCCCCAAACTGTCACTATCAGCACAAGCCTAGACTGTTTCAGGGTCCCGTATCACTCACTATCCAACAGTAGCATGTCTACCGTTCCCAAGTCGTGTTTCAAAGTCTCTCTGATATCACCCTCTCGCAGCTCGATGATTTCGCTGACAGAGCTACCGCACGCATTCCAATGCTCTCGAGCCTTCTTGGCTTTCTCGGGCTCATGCTCCGTTGCGATGACTCTTCCTGGGCCACCCGTAACTTCGACATTGGATGCAACGGCGAGGGCGAGATAGATGGTGCTCACCCCGTAAGATGTGCCAGCCTCGACTATAGTCTTAGCGCCAGTTGCAAGGCCCATTTGGTAGAGAAAGAAGGCTTTATCCTGTTCGATGGCAACGAACTTGTCTCGCATTTTCTGATCGACGCTTTCGGGTTCGAAGTCATCCCAAGTCATGTAGGCTTCCTGTGCGGCGGAATTATTGTGTAGTCTGGAAAGCAGCGACAATATGTGTGGGGAGACATGTTTAAGTGGGTGATTGCTCGCTTGGGAAGCCATGATTAGCATTCAGGTAACAAGGTTCATAGTGGTCATCGAAGCATTGGGGGTGTTCAAGGCCTTATTTATACCTCTTTCTCAGACCTGTAGCTTTTCTTGCATGATCCAATAGCTGATGACTGCCCTCTATCCTTCTCCGCAATCACATCCGCAACAACAAAGTTGTGAGTCATATGGCTGGCAATAGCCAATTGTTCCCAGTAAGTGAGTCCGTGCGATATGCAAGCCGCTTCGACGGAAAAGGCACATCCGATGTGTGCTTACTCGAAAAGTAAGGTACTATACTGTGGGGGAAATGGCGAGACGGCGCCCTGCCAGCATTCGTCCGCTCAAGCGGAGCACTTCTCCCTAGACCTGCCTTCGCAAAGTCAATTTGGCTTCTCTGAGCGACATCGTGTCACTACCAAAACAGGCTAGAGCTAGCGCATTGAGAATGCAGCGGAGCAATTGATGACAGCATATAATATGACTATTGGACGCCCTTTGAAAGCCATTGCGCGGTCTGTGGGCGGGTTACAGCAGAGTCTGGAGTGGCCCAATTTAACCTTCGCGGCTTGACACCATGGGGACATCACTTGGCTCCCTACGCGCATAACAGGTTTGTATGCACCTACAACTCTATGAAAGAACATATCTTGATTTATTCCGTGTCTTATTAGGTACACCGACCCACATACCAGGCTCTGTAGAATTCCAATTTTCGAAATGCAAGCAGAGCAAGCTGCGCTTCACAACAGATTACTATACATCATTCTATCCATGGTCTGACAAGCCCATCCCAACCAGTTTGACAAGACTTTTCTTTGACTTCATGGAATGAAATCCGCCCACATGCTGGGTTAGTCACTGTGAGGAGATCAGCGAGTAAGGAGCGAGAGATAAGCATGGCATCTGCACTGATATGCAACTCTTATAAGTCTTGCGTTGCCCTCACATCCATTCCCCTGTTTTCGAGACCCGTCAACAGCACACCATCAGTGCATCCAGATTGAATCCAACGACATCCAGACACTTGACGATCATATAGTCATTCTCCTCGCGTCCACCATAATGGCCACCATGGATAAAATATTCGCCGGCTACTCCGCCCGCAAAGCCGCCCTCGAGGCCATTACCAGCAACCCTTTCACTCAAGGCATCGCCTGGATCGAAGGCAATCTCATTCCGCTACATGAAGCTCACATTCCCTTGCTCGACGAAGGCTTCCTCCACGGCGACCTGACCTACGACGTCCCCGCCGTCTGGGACGGGCGCTTCTTCCGCCTGGACGACCATCTTTCGCGGTTAGAGCTCAGCTGTGCGAAACTACGCATGAGGCTGCCTATTCCACGAGACAAGATCAAGCGCATTCTTATCGATATGGTGATCCGCAGCGACCTTCGCGACGCATACGTCGAGCTTATTGTCACGCGCGGTCTGCAAGGCATCAGGGGTAGCAAAGACCCCCTCAGCCTCACAAATAATCTGTATCTATTCATCAAGCCGTATGTCTGGGTGATGGAGCCCGAGGTGCAGCGCACGGGCGGGCATGCGGTTGTCGCACGCACAGTACGACGTGTCCCACCCGGAGCAATTGATCCGACAGTCAAGAATCTGCAATGGGGGGATTTGGTTCGTGGGGCGCTGGAGGCGGCGGATCGAGGGGCGACGTATCCGTTCTTGACGGACGGGGATGCGCATCTTACTGAGGGATCAGGGTATAATATCGTTCTGGTTAAGGATGGGGTGATCTATACTCCTGATCGAGGGGTGTTGCATGGGGTCACGCGGAAGAGTGTTATGGAGATAGCGCGAGGAATGGGAGTTACGGTTCGCTTGGAGCCTACGCCAGTCGATCTGGCTTATCAGGCTGATGAGATCTTCATGTGCACGACTGCTGGATGAATCATGCCCATCACAACCTTGGAGGGTCGGAGGGTCGGTGATGGGAAGGTTGGGCCGCTGACAAGAATGATATGGGATAAGTATTGGGACATGCATTATGACCCAGCTTATAGCTTCGCTATTCAGTACAAAGGTTCCTCGGACAACCGTGCGAAGCTCTGAATACGTACGGATATTTGCGATTGGGAAAAAGGATCATTGTTGGTGATATGCCCCGAAATCATTATCATACACCGAGAATCCGTGGCTCATTCGGAGCTTGCAACGGTCTTATAGATATGGTTGTACCCATTTAAAGACTCCTGTGTCAATTCCTTCATCTCCCGTCCCTGGAATCTGTTAGGATCCAAAGCTTCCTTCAAGGTATCATCAACAGCCTCTCCCTTCAACAGCCGAGTCAAGAATTTGGCCGACCCAGCTGCATGAGTCACCCAAACAGCTGCAGCCATGTACAGCCCAGCCACCTCAGCAACAGCTCCCACCAGTGGCATATTGTCCGGCGTCATCGAGAAGATACCGTTGAACTTCTCCCTAACCTCCAGATTTGTCGACTCCGGGATGAACTTCATAGCGGTATCCAATGTTGCGCTGAAATCTTCAATCCAGTCTCCGATGGCCGTCTCGGTCGGCTGCTGCGCATGTGGCGGGTGGTCGTAGGAGCCTAGCCCATAAAAGGTACCGTGATCACGGGCATAAACGTGGTGTTCAGGCCATCTGACCCAAGGGGCTTTGCGTTCGCTCAACTCATGGTATCTGCCGTACATATAGGGATGCGCGACAGGGACAATAGGAATGGGAGTCTGGAAGCTGCAGAGCTCGGGGGCCCAGATGCCAGTCGCAATGATGACCGTCTTTGCCTGGACAAATCCTGCCGTAGTCATCACACCCTCCACCTGACCGTTGGCTTGTTGAACCTTCGTGGCATCCGCTTGAAGGAGTTGCACACCCCTCGCCCGTGCCTCATCTTGGAAGAAGGTGGTGATCCTGATGGCGTTGGCAGCACCATCGCCGGCGAAGTGCAACGCGGCGATGTACTCTCCCTTGATCAAGGCAGGAGCCATTTTGGTTGCTTGTTTGGACGAGATGAGCTCAGCTTGGAGACCAGCTCTTTTGGCGGAGTCATGTCGCTGTTTCAGACGCTCCGCTCCTGCAGGGCTAGTCGCGAGCTCGAGGCCCCCAACCACGTCGAATCCACCAGGGATCTTTCTGTACTCATGGACCGTATCCTGAGCCAGACGGGTCAAGACCTCCGATTCGTTGTACTGGCCAACAAATCCAGGTGCATGGCCAGTGGAACCCTTCAAGGGTGCAAAAGAACGATCAATCAACACAATCTTTTTGCCCACGTCTCCGGAGGAAGATAGGAAGTATCCCAGGGCCGAACCCACGATACCAGCGCCGATAACGGCGATGTCTGCGGTGTGTGAGGCTTGCATCTTGGTCAAAATTTGACTTGTGCTGCGTGTCCAGAGATCATCCCTAAGGGCAGTGGCTTGTAGCCTATATATGATCCAGCAGAGCCAAGCCAGCCAAGCTCGCCGCGCGTGTGTCTCGGCGCATCTGTCCTAGATCAGTCGGTTTCGTATAGTTGTCTACCCCCACTGTGCTATAGTGACCAGTGCTAGCAGGCTTCTTGCCCAATCCATCCCCACATTTATCCGCCTTCAGAGCCGCTTTGCACCTGTGAGGTGTGGTACGATACCATTTCCGGTCAATACTCGGAGATCCAAAGCACTAGCCTATACTCCAGCTACATTTGAAGGGCGTGGTGTGAAACTTGGAAGGGTTGTTGTTCCGGCCGAGGTCGGCCAGGGATGATGAGTGGCAATGGAGAGCCGTGATTGCCTGAGGCAGAGAACGCGGGATGCCGGTGCCCCTCCAAGGAGTGAGTGACTCAATGCTATTGACAATTCTCTCCCTCTCCCTCGCCCTCGAACCCCACCCCACTTCGCGCCAACCCAACCTGGCTGGATCCTGCATACAATTGCATTTCCGCTTCTATCGTCATACAAACTTTGTGACTATCGTGTTCATATCATTCTGTGTCACTTCCAGCAGTTCATCTCCTCGTGTATCGTGTATTGCACACTTGGGGGTTAAATGCAACCTCCTCGGTTGGCGCTTTTCTCAATGGCATTTTTCTTTGGAATCTGATGGAACCTTTCATGATTTCACGAAAGGGCAGAGCGGAGCCATTCCTCTAATTGAACATAGGCGGTATTCTCCAATTGCGTTCAAAGCCATATCTTGGGATTTTTCGCAGGTGCGCTCGGCTTAAAGAGATCTGTATAATTAATTTGCTCTGTCTCAGAGCCTATATAAATCCAGTTTTGCTACTGAGTGAGGAATCTGCTTCTCCGCTTCTCATAGCATTCTTGCTGACCGGACACAGGATAGTCACGGCAGTCGTTTTGTTTATACTTGTTAAACTTATCGTTTAGTCAATTGGTCACTGGTTGGCCAACTATACCCATTCCACCTTGATTTGGCGTGGCATCGGAGCGGCTATTTCCCGTCTTTTGTTGAATTTCTGTCATCATGTCGATGTTTAGAAAACCCTCGGAGATCTCATCGTCTTCTAGTTCAGATGAGGAGGTCCAAGAGCTTCATATCTCGGGCCCTCGTCCTGAGGTCCGCTCTAAGCAGCGACATCAGCCGAAGAAGAAGGGCGTTTTGTCGCCTACGTCAGTAGGAGACAGCACTGATGTTGATGGTCATGGAAAGATGATGACCGCTGCTCTTCTCGAGTTCTATTGTCTCACTCGAGCCGCGGATTTACTTAACGCGCAGCCAGGCTCCCACGGGCAGTACACGCGGGATTCTCCCGAGGTTATAGCTCTCGGGCATGATATGTACACTCATCAGTCGGAAGTCCTCTCCCAGCATGGAATTGTGAACGAAGGTGCAGAGAAGGAAGCCTTAAGGCCCACAAGACAGCTCTATCGAGATACGCTGGATTTGATTGCTAGCCGTTCCTTTAACCGCCTCGACTTGCACGATCGTCAACCTAGATCAGCCTCTGTTGGGGCCCGGGCCCCTTTGCCGAAGACCTCTAGTGAATTGACACTCCATAAAGGTCGTTCGGACTACACGCAACTCAGACAAAAGGCCAACTCTCTTGGTTCAATGCAGAAGCCTAACATTGACCACCTATTCAGCCCGCATCTGGCTCCTTTTCTGGGTACGGAATCCCGCCCGTCTCTTTACGACGATCTTACTAACTCGTGTGGTGAAGAGATATCGCGCTACGCGTTACAGTTCACTGAGATCAGTGTTCTAGGTCGGGGCGCCTTCGGGGAGGTCTACCACGTGAAAAACCATGTCGATGAACACGACTATGCGATCAAGAAGATACCTATCAGTCGGCGACGACTCGCGCAACTAGAAGGCGGAAACAAGCACCATTTGGGAGAAATCCTGAAAGAGATCCGGACACTTGCCAAACTTGACCATGCCAATATCGTCCGGTATTATGGCGCTTGGGCAGAAAAGGTAAAACCCCTTGAATACCTTGGTCTTCACAAACTCGATCTTTCCCTGTTCAATGCGTCGACTGATACTGACTCGGATTTCACGCAACAGAACCTGTCACACCATTCTATGTCGCCGCAGATGTCGACTGCGGAGGGCCAGAACAAAAAACTGGCGATCGTCTTTGAGGAGTCTGAAACTTCGGCTTCCGGCCAACCGCCGCTTACTTCTACATCGAAGTTCACCTCTAGAGAAAGCACGGACGACGAAGACGACGACATCTCGGCTGACCCCTCGATCTCCAACAATATCTCTCAGGACCAGCCTAGCTCACTTCGCAGCGCTGATGAAGATATCTTCACAGACGGCCTCAGTCACAATCCTTCGAGCATGCAACTTCAACGCACCCGTGGAAGGGGTCTTGAGATTCCTGTGGTGATCTTGCATATCCAGATGTCGATGCATCCGATATCTCTCCACGCATATCTTAACCCGCGACCCAGCACACATGCAGATGACTCGGGGAAGCCACGGCGTCGCCACTGCTTTCACTTGGTTCCCTCCTTGCAACTGATGGTGGACATTCTTTCCGGTGTGCTTTATCTGCATTCAAAGGACATCATCCACCGCGACCTCAAACCGGCCAACATCTTCCTCTCTTGTCCGGAGAAACACCACACCCACACTGGTTGTCATCCCTGTCAATCCGACGGCGGGCCGGGACTTCATTACTGCCAGCCCCGCATCGGCGACTTCGGCCTCGTGGCTGACATCTCGCATCTGAACGATCCTTCATCTGACGGCTCGCCTCAGTCCTCAGAGCACGGCTCGAAAATTCACCACATCGTTGGTACAGAGTTCTATCGTCCACCTCTCGACTCGAGTGGGATGATCTCCAGCGGGTATGTTCACCAATACGCCCAGGAGGTAGGGATGGAGCAGCCCATGCGATATGTCTGCGACTGGTCGCTTGACGTTTATTCCTTGGGTATCATTCTTTTCGAGCTGCTCTATCCTCTCAACACGAAGATGGAGCGCCATCTCGTGCTGGATGATCTGACCAGGGGCCCGTACAAGAAGCCGCCGACCGCATCCATCAACGGAGCATGCCTGCCCAGAGACTTCATGGACAAAGTTCACATGGGCGATGTGATGTTGAAAAATGGAAAAACGGTGGCTGAAGCCTTGGCGAGCTGCATTGGAGGTATGCTGGATCCCAACCCTCGGCAACGCTGGCGGTGTGAGGTCATCCAGAAGTGCCTGCGAGAGATCCTTGCCACTGTGCACCCGGAGTCGTATTGATGTGGTATCTCTTATGCTGCAATTGATCCGACGGCATACGCACAGGTCTATCGATCGGTTTAGAGTAAGTATACCCTGCATTTAGCGCATAGCGTTGAACATTCTCCTTAAATAGCATCTGCTATTAACTATTCTACTGTAATCTCTGTCAAATAACCACATACCAACTTCTCCGAATATATACACCCAATGACAGCAAAATCTCAGATTTCTATATTCTGTTCTTATCGAACATCTAACCATAGTTACACGCACATGTAAAACAAATGTGCTCACCAAACAAGACAAATATAACATGAATTGAATCATCAGCTGTTCAACCCAGCGTTATCGCTTCTCAAGCTCCGCCCGAAGCGCATCAACCCACGCCAACTTCCCTTCCGCGAAGATCTCCCCGGCGGGGGGCATACGCGCGCCGTTGTCGAGCAAGATGGTTCGGATGATGATCCGGTCTCCCATGACGGCCTGATTATGGTAGATGTGGGAGGTGCAATTGGGGCAGAAGTAGCAGTGGACGGGGTTTCCGGAGGCTCCGGTGTAGGTATATGTGCTGGGTTTTCCGGAGAGGATTCGCAGTTGATCCTGTCGTCGCCATCATCACCATCGTCCTAGAGATTAGCTTTGTCTTCACTTACGCCATTGTGTATGGTAGGATGGCTTTTGCGCGCGTGTGCGCTGCGGGGTGATACGTAACGGTAACACACCTTGTGGATGATCTGATTCATGGAATACGGCCCACCCCCGAGTTTACGACACGTCTCACAGTGGCAGAGGATGTGTTCCGGCTCGGTTATCTCGGCCGTCCAGGAGCAGTCACCGCAATGGCAGCTCCCGTGGAACGTGCCCGCTCCGACGGTGGGTTCCTTCGCTGGGGGCCCGAAGAGGATGCCGTCTCGGATGTCTTTGCAATTGGCCAGTTTAGTTACATTGGCGGAATTGATGGGGGTTGGTTGCCGGGCTTACCGATAACGACTGAATCTTCTCTGCAGACATTCGTCAGTCACGCCGTATCCAAAGCATGTCGACATACCCAAAACATACATCAACGGCGCCGCCTTCCTCGAAAACTCCAAATGCACCGGATCCTCGGTCAGATAGTAGTCGAGATCGGCCTGATTCTCGAACTCCAGGACGAACCCATGTGTCATTCCTTTGCTGAACGGCTCCCAGCTGCGATTCTTGCCTTGAAAGGTTTTTCACAAACTACAGTTTTAGCATTTCCCCGCCGCAGACGTCTGGAGATTGGCCAAAACAAAACACACCACGCACCTGCTTTCATACTCTTCATGTAAGGCCGCCCGGTGTCCGGCTTCTTGCACTTGTCCTTCAGCGCGAGGAAGACGGCGAAGTGCTCTTCGAACTCGCTCCATGTTATGGAGGGTTTGTACTTGAAGAGGACGATGTGAGTTATTGCTTCTGTCATGGCGGTCGGTGGTTGGTCGGTTTGAGGGTGGCAAGCTATGGGAGAAGACAATTGAGGACCCAGGGTGACAGAGCCATGTCCCCAGGGAAGCTTACTTATACCCTCGAGCTGGCATCGAAGCTGCTTTGTTCCGTTATTCTGTGTTGCATTGCGTGCTTTTGTGAAGTGTAGGATATGTGCAGTGAGATAGTAAGAATGGCCGGCCGTAGAGCGCGGGGAGAATTACTTTGTTGGGTCTCGGGGGAGTTGCTTTCCCCGCGCGGGTGCCGAGTTGGGGAATTTGGGGTAAGAGCGGGCTTGGGGGCGGGTGGGCGAGATGCGGAGGAGCTCTCCTTGCATTACTTCGTGCTTATAGATAGGAAAGTATTTGCTGCGGAGTGTCGATCCCATGGCATTGTCACCGGGTAAGTTTATTCTTGTTTATGAAAAGCCTGGGATGTTTAATGGCAAATAATTCAATAAGTTCAAATCCTTTAAGCGATAACGAGATGGGGGACCAACTACTCATCACTTGGTCTTCTGGTGATTCGGAAAACAAGGGGCATGGAATGAGAAGTGTTCGATATCTCTTCATTTCACCCTGGCTGCGACAAAGAAGCGAATGGCACTGCAGAATATAACAACAGACACTGGAGCAATACGGAGACACGGCGGACAGCCAGGGGAGAACATATACATGTGTGCCTGTTGGAATAAGCTGGCAGAAGATCAACATGCTTTGTGTATGGAAAAGCAAACTATATTTCAGTTGAGAGCTCTGGGGCTTCGTTGCAAGAGGACTCGAGCTGGTTGGTTGACTTGGTACGCTACAGGAGGTCACCGCGCGACTCAATTTACTTGGAAGCTATCAGAATGATCTTTCAAATCTGAGAGGTGTTTCATACGCACCATGGCTACTTTTCGCAACGATTGAACGTCCAGAGGTGTGAGTACCTTACAACAGATGAAGTTCTAGGTATGATCTTCGCCGTTTGTAGACGCCTGTCCGCAAGCCGCATCGCCATAATGGAGACTTCGATTTCCTTACTTGCGGTCCTCGAGCTTGAACTCACTGGCTTGTCTCGTCTGTCACTTTATACACTAGAAGATATGCAGGTAAGTAATCGTGATTGACTGTCCCGTGCAGAACTGAGAAGTCAAGGTCATGGAGAAGAGAAGGCGGGCAGCAATGAAGATAGGAATAGCCTGATTTCACTTGTAGCCGTAGCCAGCTGCGAGAGTAACCTAGAGCCTACTACAGCTGCTTGATCTTTGCAGACAAGACTTGTTGCCGGAGCTACTTTGTTTGATAGATTAGGTGTCTCCTTTCAGACGGAGTGCCAATGACTGAGCAAACATCCAAGTCTCCTTTCCCCCATACACACCAAAGAAGCAGTGGCAAGAGTAACACAGATAGAGCGGTCATGTAAGATGTCAACCTGGTTCTAATTTTGTTCCAGACAGTGGAATTGTGTGTTCAGGACAAGAACTCCTCTCTGCCATCTACCCATATACGAGATCACGTGCTTCCATACAGCATCACGTACTCTAACAGGAAGCAGTGAGTGACGTCACCACCGGCAGCGATGGGTAATCTCAATACCAAAGTTACCGGTATGTTGCCCCAGACACAAGCCAGCTAAAATCACCTCGACCGCCAGAACCTCAGCCACTGAATGGTCGTGGCTCTTGGAAGGACTGTCATGGCCTCTTGAGATTGCACGCCTCTGATTTTCTGGAACGGGCTTCCATGAACTTCAGCTGTCATCATGGAGAGCCTTGATGGGATTTCCAACCCCCGCGATGCGGCCGAAGATCGCAGTGTTGGTCGTCTTGATGGCGGCCGTTCTTCCAGAGCATCTCGGGATGGTAGCAGCTCTCCAGACTCTCCGACTGACTTCAATTTTCCTTATGCAGACACCTCCTTTACCTCTGGCTCGAGCAGCAAGCTGGCTGGCGACCAGCCCGAGTCAGCGTTGCGGAGCCTTCTCGACTTGGAAGACGATCGGAAGTCCCCCCGCGCGGCCTCACCGTTCCCCTCGCTGCCCTTCAGCGCCCCATCAGCTCCCACAGCCCCTATGAGCGAGGAGGGCGAGGAAGCCGAAGATGAAGAGCCGCAGGTTGCAACCTCCTTCGAGCGGGACTCGACACCCACGTCGGCACAAAAGCAGCGATCTGCGTTTTTCGACACGGGCGGCGAAGAGGGGATCAACCGCATGCACAAATTCTCGCTCTACGAGACAGCCACCCGCTTCTACATGGTCGGCATGGACTTGTCGGACACCCGCTTCCGGATCATGAAGATCGATCGGACCTCTGAGTCGGGCGAGCTGATCATCTCCGAGGATGACATCGTGTACAGCAAGCGGGAGATGAGCCAGCTGTTGGATACCATCGACGACGGCAATAAGAGCTCGGGCGGACTAAAGCTTAAATGCAGCGCCTGGGCTATGCTGGGATTCATTCGCTTTACGGATGCTTATTACATGCTCCTAGTGACGAAGAGAAGTCAGGTTGCCATGCTCGGCGGTCACTACGTCTATCAGATTGATGGAACTGAATTGATCTCGTTGACGACGTCCAGCTCATCTCGCCTGCGACCGGAGAAGAATCCTGAGGAGGCAAGGTACATTGCGATCCTGAATAACCTTGACTTGACCCGGTCGTTCTACTTCAGTTACTCTTACGACATTACCCATACTTTGCAGCGCAATATCTGCCGGGAGCGCAAAGCTCATCATGAGGGACAGCCCAAGACATTCCAGCAGGATTACAATCCCATGTTCATCTGGAATCACCATCTTCTCACCCCGGCTCTTACCAAGTTACGCAACCCTTGGGAGTGGTGTCTTCCGATCATCCATGGCTATGTCGAACAGGCCAAACTTTCAATCTACGGGCGGATTGTGTACATAACCATTATTGCCCGTCGTTCTCGGTTCTTTGCTGGCGCTCGTTTTCTGAAAAGAGGAGCGAATGACCTGGGATATGTGGCCAATGACGTCGAAACTGAGCAAATTATCTCTGATATGGCGGCTACGTCGTTCCATGCGCCTGGTCCGCTGCTCTACGCTAATCCGCTCTATACGTCATACGTCCAGCATCGTGGCAGTATCCCGCTCTATTGGACTCAGGAGAACTCCGGTGTTTCCCCCAAGCCAGACATTGAGCTGAATCTGGTTGACCCGTTCTACTCTGCTGCGGCTTTACATTTCGACAATCTGTTTGAAAGATACGGTGCTCCAGTCTACGCATTGAACTTGATCAAAGCTCGAGAACGGACCCCACGCGAGTCGAAACTTCTCAAGGAATACACCAATGCCATTCAGTATCTCAATCAGTTCCTTCCTGAGGATAAGAAGATCATTTATCAACCTTGGGACATGAGTCGCGCTGCGAAAAGTCGCGATCAAGATGTTATCGGGACACTCGAGGATATTGCCGGGGACATTATCCCAAAGACTGGATTCTTCCAGAATGGTGTTGATGCCGAGTCTGGGCTTCAGCTGCAGAACGGAGTAGCGAGGACCAACTGTATTGACTGTCTTGATCGTACGAATGCCGCTCAGTTTGTGATCGGAAAACGCGCGCTGGGCCATCAGCTCCACGCTTTGGGAATCATCGACGGAACAACAGTGGAGTACGATTCGGACGCTGTCAATCTGTTCACTGATATGTGGCACGATCACGGTGACACCATCGCGATTCAATACGGAGGCTCTCATCTGGTCAACACCATGGCAACCTACCGCAAGATTAATCAGTGGAGCAGTCACTCGCGAGACATGGTCGAGAGTTTCAAGCGTTACTACAACAATTCCTTCCTTGATGCTCAACGCCAGGAAGCATACAATCTCTTCCTTGGCAACTATATCTTCTCCCAGGGACAGCCAATGTTGTGGGACCTGTCCACCGACTATTACTTGCATCATGCCAATCCAAGGTCATGGGCAAACAAAAAGCGTCCTCACTATATCAACTGGTACAATCCGGACAACTTGAAGAAGTTTGAATTGCCGCCCCCTCCTAAGCCGCTCAAGGAACCGTTGTCGCACTATGACGACTATTGGCTCGAGTACTATCGCCCGCTAGCAGTGTCATCATTCTCCAAGGTGTTTTCCTACAAGATGAACTCCACCCTCCGGTACCTGCCTTTCCGCCCTGGATCCGGTGCTCCCTACGACATAAGCCCGTTCGTGACCAGAATTCCACATGAACCGGTGAACCGTGAACGTCAGACCCACCGAACAGTCAAAATCCAGGAACCTGACAAGACAGCAATCGGCCGTTCCAACTCCACAACCTCGCAATCCAACCGGCGTTGGTTGAACCAACCCCTTTCCGCGGACAAACAGCTTCCGGCCGCAGGAATCATGAAACAACCCACATACACGTCTTTCGGAACGCCTTCACAAACTACCGCTTCCCTCCAGTCCTCCCTGGAGCCCGGCGCCGCGCCCAGCAAAGCGCAAATCGCTCAATGGACCCTGGGCCAGCTCGTGCACGACTCCCTAAACCCCACCGTCACCGCCGCGGAAGCCGAAGAGTACGAACGTTACATCAACCATCCCCTGAAAGTGCCCCTTGTAGTCACCTCGGAGAACGAACTGACCGCGACCTCGATCCGCGAAAACGAAGCCAACCTCGACTACATCGAGTATGCTAACAAATGCAATGTCGAGGAAGCCACCCTCGAGGCCAACGCGCTCGAGAACCTGGCGGATTATGTCGAATACCTCAACGTTCCCGAGACCGGGCTGACCGTCGTCGCGGAGGACTACGACAAAAAGCGATACAAGCGCTACCGGCAGTGGTTGCGGGGCAAGAGTCTTTTCAAGCAGCGCGTTGATTCTTAGAATTGATGCTCATCGTGCCTAGGAGGGATGGAAGCATGTTTCATGGAAAAGTATGTTTAGAGAACTTTTTGTCTTCTGATTCATTGATCTTCGTCTCGCTTTGTTCAAACCTTCCACGAATTGTGTTGTTTCACCAAATGCCCTTGCCATGACATGATACCCCCTTTGCCGCGTGCGTGCGCACTTCCTGATGTTTTCTGCTACCATCAGATCTTGTGATTTTTTTTTTCTTTTTTCTTTTCTTTTCTTTTTTTTTTCGTTGTGATTTACTTGTTCCATCGGGGTTGAGGAAAAATTAGAGTTTCAGATAGTGTTGTAACTACTGAGTACCTATTGTGACTATTTCTCAATGATGGCTGTACTTAAGATCGGCGTAAATTTGAAGCATCACTTCAAGTAGCTCAATCTCTCTGGCAAAACTCGGATCACATCGCCCTGACCCTAATCTCGGGACTTTCAATCTGAAATCATAAGCAAACGACAAAGTGCCTCGCTCCTATTGACAGCCGAAGGGGGATGAGTCGATACGACGCAAGATTTGACTGAATCATTCTTCTCCTTCCGCCTGCCCAAAATACCTCCCATCTGACGGATCCACTTCCGCGAAGAGCAGCCCACGCAGCTCTTCCTCCGCCGCAACGAGCTCCTCCAGCTCCTTACCAAAGTCACCAGCCGCGAGGGCCTCCTGCTCCGGCGTGTCCGGCCGCAGGGGCTTTTCCAATGCCAACCGCAGCAGAGCGACGACGCCCTGCAGCTCGTTCTTCAGCCTCCCCAAAATCCTCAACCGTCCATCATTCTCGGGAGCATGACTCCGGGAATTGTTCAACCTCCTGGTGGTAGACCCCCCGGCGGCGGCGCGGATCTCCCGCTCCTCGTCGACGACATTCAACCAGCATGGGCAAACCCCGCCCAGGATCTCGGTCCGCCAGCGCCAGACGCGCGGGTGGGCGTTCAGGATCACGGCGCGGGCGACGCCCACCGCCGCGAAGAGGAGGGGCGGGTGCGCGGTCCCGAAAGGATTGGTGAGGGTGCTGTAGATCAGGGGGATGGTCTCCTGCAGGTATTTTGTGGACTCGATGCCGAGGGCGGTGGTCATTCGTTGGATCTCGGTGAGGAGGAGCGTGGAGAGCCTGGGGTGGGGGAAGGAGGTCAGTGCGGAGGAAGCGGAGGGGGAGGTGATTGGGTTCGTGGAGCTGATGTGGTGGAAGGAGGTGATCAGGTTGTCGCGCAGGGTTTTGGTCAGGCCCGCGGTGAATTCGGGTTTATTGCTGCTGCTGCTGCTGCCGCCGGTGGCGTAGCTGGTTTCGAGGAGCGCGTGCAGGGCCGGGTAGGCGGTGCTCAACAGGCGAAGGGAGTCGTCTTCCGGGGTGATGGTCGGCAGGGAGAGTAGGCATGGCCGGAGGGCGTCCTCGAAGACGGAGCTGAGGTTCGTGCGCCGCAGGATGTCCGATTGGACGGAGCGGATGGGTTGCAGGAGTTCTCTGAGGAGGGTGCAGCCGCGGATCTTGGGGGTCAGGGTCTCGTCGTCGATGAGCGCGAGGATTGGCGGGATGAGTTGCGAGAATTGTCGTTCTAGTTGGGTGATCGATGTGGACTTTGCGGGAACAGTCTAGGGGTTAGTGATGCTGGTTCTTTTTGGGGGGGGGGGCTTCAATTTCAGGTGTCAAGGGAGACAAACGTCATATTGAGCGAGTGCCCAGCTAAAGACTGTGGTTGAGTAAACGGCAAAAGCCTTCCAGGGCTTCGCTTCTGGGTCCAGAGTGGTGAGGTCGAATCGGGCCAGAGGCACAGGGTGGAAGTTCTTGCGGCCCTCTGCTGTAATGGCTGGGTTCCTCGTCTTGGTGAAGAGAGGTCGGATCCTCTCCTTCAGGACCGTCTCGAGATGCGTCCACAGAGTGCCATCGGAGCGCGTGGTCGCGCTGAAACCTCGAAGGATGTCAATTGAGATCCGGTGCGCTTCTTCGGTGGACCAGGGATCGGCTTCCGAAGTGAAGCTAGCAAGCGCAACGAGAATATTAGGGATGTTGGCCGCTTTGCCAATGGGGTGCACTTTGTTCAGTCCGGAGATGACGGTGATAGCTTGCGTCAGCTTTTGCTTCTCTTCAGCAATGACGGCAAGCTTGCGTTCTGGAGGAATGGTTAGCAGCGTGTTATTTCAAGAGAACCGGGCCGATCTTACCACTGGCCTCTTCGATTGTCTCCGCGAAGATGGACGAAGGGAGGGCAGCGTTGCTTGCCCAGTCATAGATGTAATCTGCCGCCTCTACATCGGCTTCAAGCGCCGTCTCAGAAGCCCAGTTGTGCAGGACTGCTTGGGCCACCAGTAGGTTCTCACGAAGCTGAAGGGGATTTGTCAGCAATGACTATTGTATGTGCTAAGCTGGGTCGCTTACTTTGGCCGGGTCCGATTCAGCTTGAGACAAGCAATCCTGCCATAGGTGATTCAAGCCTCCCGTGGTGGTATAGCGGGCAGTCGCAGCCTCTGGGAGTTGAAGATCACCTCGCGGGAGGGATTCGCATGCTGCCGCGCGGAGTTCTTCCATCTATCCGTGCACTTGGCAGGCAATCCAGCGCTCTTGCCCTAAAAGGAGGTTACGATGAGTTGTGAATTGTTATTGAAGGCTTTACTGGAAATTCAACAGGCGGGAGAAGGTTCAGGTGACACAGAGGTCCAGAACTTGAGAATTTGAGGAGAAAGTTGGACTGCGATCCCATGGTTTGTATGACGGCAGTTTATGCAGCGAGCGGTCAGTTGGCGGATTTCGCCCAAGCCGTCAGTCACGCTGCAACTCCATGTCTACAGTTACTTGAGACCACGAAAAAATTGTTCAGCTATGCGCTCGCTAACTTCTATTCATAAATTTTGACTCTATCAGACCCCAAGCTCTTGTCTTTTATCAGCTAAGACTTTCAGGACTTCCTCTTGATCGGTTGACTCGGGATGCACTAGTTGCCATTCAACCACCATCTGCAATGCCTTGGCCAGCCATGGTCCCTTCTTACCACCCATGGTCTTCATGACTTGATCGCCATTAACAAGCGGTTTCAGATCGTATACATCTTGCAAGCCTTGTTCCTTGATGTACCCGATAAACCTGGCATACTCTTCGACCACTAATGCACAACATAAGTCAGCTGTCCGTACGGGTTGTGTGGGAAGAATGGGCTTGAGATTCTCACCTAGGTCATACTGGCGTCCGCTCACGACCTCCTGAAGTATGGCCTGAACAATGCACAGCCTCCAGTCCTTTTTCCAAGAACGAATGTGCAACCCAACGTGCCTGCGAACTTCCATTGCCGTTCCACTCACAGTCCCTTCCAAGATTGAGTTCTTCACCTCAATAATCGACTGCCAGCTTGCTGCTGCATCTCCCACAACAGATATCACTTTGTTGTCAGCTCGCAAGCTTTCTTTGGCAACTCCTGCAGCCCGAGGCGGTGGTGGCCGCCCTTTGCCTTTTGGGGGGCGGCCTGGGACCTTTGACCACGGAGCCATTGCTGAGAGCATCCAGGCGTAGAACTCCTCTTGCTTGTCGCGAATGAGAAAGTTCCGAACTTGTTCCACTGTCTGTCGAGGGTCGACATCAGTAGGCCGTATCAGTCTCTCTACTGTGTTGTAGGCGAAATGCCAGGATGAAGTCTCAACAGTGGCATCATCCTGGAAATTAGCGAAGATAGTCGGATAAAGACCTAGGCGATCTATTATATGTAGGGCACCGCGAGGATCAGGTCCTAAAAATAATCAGCATAAGATCTAGCGTAAGTTGGAGGCATATTCGCTAACCATAAAGCATCTTTTCAAGTTCCTTCAGGACTCGCTCACGGCTGATTTTAAGCTTAAGAGCCTCGCCTATATGAGCGTTCTGCATTGCCGCCTCAGTTTCAGGGTGTATCAGGTATCCCAGGCGGCTCGCGAAACGGATTAGTCGTAGCACACGCAATGGGTCATCCTGGAATGTTTGATATGGCTCCAATGGAGTGCGGATGATCTGGTCCTGCATATCCTGAAGACCGCGTCTGGTCAAATCTTCGACCTTGGACTCGTTGAGATTATAGAAAAGTGCGTTGATGGTGGCGTCCCGGCGCAACGCGTCTTCCTCGGCTGTTCCGAACTCCATCTGAGGGTTCCGGCTATCGGCGGTATATGTCTCTTTCCTCAAGTTGACCAAGTCTACATCGAAGCCGAAAATGTTCGTCGTCACTGTTTCTAGGTGCTTGGATTTCTCCGGATTCGCCTCGATCTTATGCAGACTGACAAGCTCTTTGCCTAGATCGCCGCTCGCATGATCCTTCCGGTATTTGTCCAAGTTGCCAGGGATGTCCATGTACTCTTTCAGCAAGAGCCCAAACTGATATCCAGTCATGTTGTTGATGCCAACATCGATATCTTGGCTGTCCACTCCGAGCAACTTGTCGCGCACCCATCCTCCAGTGAATCGCAAGACAGTGCCGGAGGGGTTCGCATCATGAGAACCTTCTGCGCACTTTCGTTCATGTATATACTTTGCAACATCAAGTAGGAGGGTTTTGAGAGTATTCTCGAGAGGCGTCAACTGGATTTCAGGGAGAGTATCGGTGGATTCGCTCATGGTGTTCTCGCGCGGGGCAGCCACAGACAGGCGCCGTCGTTTTTCCGGTCGGTGAGAAGGGCTGCGGGATTCGGGACGTCTCATGAACGAGATGGAAAGAGCAGCTCTGTGCTTGTGCAGGTGTTGCCGAGGATATGAGTTGGGGGTAGAGGATTGAGGATGGAGGCGTGTTAGAGGGGTAGAATGGGCAGCGCTATAAGTTCGTGAAGAAAGAATGACGGCGGGGCGGAATCGAGGGAACTTGACCAGGGCACGGGGGGGAAGAGTCGCACACATTGACATATGCCATGACAACCGTGACTCAGGAGCGGTTCATCAGGGAAGTATGACAGAACATTGACCGGGCTGCTCTTCAAAAGAGAGAAGTCCATTCCAAGAATAGAGCATGACTGCAGCGACGGAGCAATAGTACAACCGGCAGATTCATGCGGGCTGCCTCCACCGCCTGCCTCTTCAGAATCATTCTCCATCGGCACGGTGAGGTCACAGAGAGTCGGTTTGTTGTTATTGGCTTGTTGACTTTAAGGTGATTGACAATCTAATGTGTATCGATTAAATGAATCTTTGAGGCTAGTCTGAAATTCTGCCGAGTCGATAATTGTCCGTGGCTGACAGGAGGTCTCACGTGCATGGTCCGATTTACCTCTACTGTTCTCCCACGTTGCGGCCGCGGTGAAGTGGCTTCATTCATTCCAGCACCGTCTTATTTTCTCTTCATCTTCCTTCCCTCTTTCTCCATTCCACATCTCCCAGGCTGACAGCTGACTTTACTCCTCGCGCACTTCTTGCTTGACCTTCTAATATTTCTGACATCGTCTTCCCAGTCGATGGGCTCTAGATTCTTTTCAACCTCTTTTAGTGTCGCGTCGCAACTTACTCGGAGTCCATGACATCGCCCGGAGATGCTGCTCCGGTCAAGCCTCCGCCGTCGTTCTCGCCCGGCGTTCCGCGTGTCGCTTCCAAGACGAGGTATCCAAACCAGCGCCGCGACTCTTCTCCGTCTCTAGATGCAGATCTTGCTGAGTCCAGGGTCGCATCCCCGAACCCGCCTCTTTCCGCCACGACGTCAGAATTGCCAATTCGATCAGCATCACCGCGGACACCGTCCTTTCGATCGTCAACACCCCAATTGGCCCGGTCATCCCTCGGCTCTCCAGTAGAAGGACGGTTTGAAGGCTCCGAGGAGATACGCTCGCTGATCATACGCTCGTTCTCTCCGGTAGTCGGAGTCTATGCATCAGCGGACACCGATGAATTAGTAAGGCAAAAGGGGTTTGCGGGCGGGTTTTGGCAGTTAATCCGGCCATTTGGCGAGAATATCCCAGGAAAGCTTGTCATTCGGGATAGTGTTGGAGCGAGTCGGAGCTGGGAGGATTATGGAGTGCGCTTTGTCGATCTTGGAAACAATAATCAAAGTCCCCCTGAGTCAAGCGGGGGGCGGAGCTCCCCTTTAGCACACGTGGAGGAGGTCTTGGAGAAGCAACTGGGCTCATTGGACGATCCGCTGGGCGGGTCTCTATACCCCAAGGACTTTCTCGGTCTCCCCAGCACATCACCATTATACAAACTATACCTTCGACAGCTTTTATCCATAGCATCGGCGACACCCCACGAGACTTTTCGACATCCAGTGGCCTGTGTTATCGCCATCAGCTCGCGCAATATTGCCCCTCTGGAGACTCTGAGACGACTCTATGCAGACACCAACAATGGAGACAAACGGGTGCCTGACTGGATCCATCCTGAGTATCTCCGGTACTACGTCTTAGTGCATGATGAGGATCGCGACGACATCACAGAGTCTACGAAGCTATACGATCAAATGAAACGCCATTTCGGGCTTCATTGTCACCTGCTGAGATTGCGCAGCAATCAATGTGTGGTTACAGATGATGACAGTGTTCAAGTACCTGAGTGTGAATGGCTTTCGCCATCGGAGCGGTTGCATGGCTGGGCAGGTGAGACAGGTCGCTTGGACTGATTGTGCCTTAAGTGCTAATAAATACCAGAGCCCTTAGTAGACCTTGATACGGGTGGGCTTCCACACGTCTTTGAGTCGGATATGATGGCGATTAGGGCATTCGTTCGGGAATTAGTTGCGCAATCAGTCGTGCCGTACATGGAAAACCGAGTGGCGGTATGGAATGATCAAGTAGCCTCTCGCAGACGTGGTATCAGCGGAAGATTCATGTCCATGTCACGCCGTTGGGCAGGCTTCGGATCCGGCTCTCGATCCAGTCTGACCTCTGGTGGAGCTAGTGGCAATTATGATACGGCTCATGGCTACTACAGATTTGACGCGCCCGAGGCTGTCCTGCGTAAGATGGCTGACTTTGCATTTATGCTTCGTGATTGGAAGCTTTCCGCATCGACGTACGAACTTTTGCGGTCCGATTACGCGAACGACAAGGCTTGGAAATATCACGCGGGTGCCTATGAGATGTCGGCTGTGAGCATGCTCTTAAGTCCATCTTCCATGAGTACCAAAGTCAAGATCGAGGCGATTGATCAGATGCTCGAGACGGCCTCTTATTCGTACTTAACTCGATGCTCGGATGCGCCCAACACTCTACGATGTCTGACTCTAGCGATGGAGTTGTTTAAATCACGGGGTGGCTCGGCGGTAGAGAGCGCGGCTAGATGGGCCATGCGGGTCATGGACCAGGGTCTCGCCGGCTCTATCGGGCAGGGTCTCTTCAGTGAACGAATCTCGGCCTGTTATGCGGCCCGCAACGCCGTGCCTGGCATGAAATGGGGGTCTCGTCGTCGCAAGGCCGGGATGTGGAGCGTTTTCGCTGCAGATCTGTGGCTTCGACTGGGGAAACCTTCCCTAGCCTCGGCAGCCTTGGAGGAGGCGGAGCGCCTGTATGCGGACGTTCTGCAGGGGGATGGGGCATTTTCAATGCCAGAGATGCAAACTTTCATCGACAACCTTAGGCATGCCGTGAAGGTTGAGTATCTCGAGGCTCGAGGCCTAGATACTAGGGACGAGACAGCCACCGCAGCAGCTCTGGGAACCGAAGAGACGAGCGAGCAGCTGGATCGACGCAAGAATCGGAAGTCCCTGATTGTGAATCCTCTGGACTCCGGACTTAGCCCGACACAGGGTATGAGGGATAATGACAATGCAGCCGATGATGACTTTGAACGAGCTTAGGGACGGAATGAAAAGGCCGGATAGGCGCATGGAAGGTTATACATCATTATAGACACTCGTCGAATCTAATGCTTCGTATATATGTGTCACCTGCGTTGTAATTGCTCTGCTCTTTTACCTTGCCAGTCACTGAGCCATCATCTCATGTAAGCCCGGCATGCAGTAACCAGGGTCTTCCAACCGTCCGATGACGTCCACGGTGCATTCCCCGAGCGAACCATCACATGACCCGATCTTATCGATAAGATCACCACCCGGACAACCAACGGGCTGGCCCATTTATTGACATCAGATTCCCACCCGAAGGACACCGCGGAACAAAGGCCAGAGCAGCCGTCAAGCAGGCAGAGCCCTCACAACACTGCTTACTGCTGACGATTTATGTCATACTTTCTCCCACGAATATCTAATCCTAATCTCACCATCATCATCTAAATCTACCACATCTCACCCGCGAAGAATCCAACATGAACGACCTCCTCAACTACATCCTCTCGCAGGATCAATTCAGAAAGTGGGTAATCCATCGACTGGACCAGCCAGCCCCGTGTCCGTTGAATCCCAGTCTATCGCACAGCTCACAAAAAGTGTCATCTCACTGATCCTTTGGTTTGGCATGACAGAAACCGCCTCCCATCCCTCTACTCCGACTTCCCCACCCACCGCAAGATCAACCCAGAGGGGTACAACACCAACATCGCAGCATGGCAACACGCCCTCGCCAACGCCGCGAAACACGGCTACATCCACTCCACCCCTTCATGCTCGTCCCCCGCCAGCGCGAAGCCAAAGGCCAATCATCTGATCCTACGAGCGGACGAGACTCTTCTCCGTGATTTGGAAATCCCCGAGTGCGGGCGACCGGTGGCGCTGGGGGCGGTTTTTGTGAGCCTCTCTTTTCATTTCCCTCATCTTGTTTGGTCGAAGGGTTTTTCAGGGGTGTTATTTTTTTTTCTGGGGAAGGAAGTCTCGTCGCTAACACGACCATGGTTCTGTGTCTTTTTCTTAGGATGAGGCGATCCGGAATCGCACGATGGTGCCGTTGCAGATGTACAAGAATAGTGGGGTGAGCTTGCAGAAGCCCGGTTGGGGGATCGATACTTCGGCGTTGAGTCCCTGGGTGGTCATGAGCTGGGGAATGAAGCAGTTGAAGGGGGTGGTTTTGGGGTCCGAGGAGACGACGCCCCGACTGCAGGCGCAGGAGTTGGTGCTGGTGGAGAATCTGAAGGTATGTTCTCAAATGAAGAGGCGATGCGGTCAGATTGGGTGAGGGGCTGATGGTTGCTTTGCTGTGGTTGTGGAACAGGAAGCTGCTGAGAGAGTGGTTAAGAAGGCTACGGGGCAGAATCCGTCCAAGACGGACCTGGTCTACTCTAAGGAGGAGTTTGTGGAGGAGTTCGCTTCTATCTTGGATGAGGGGAGCCAGTTGTCCGATGCGGATCTGGATGTGCTTTTGCTGTATCTGTCCCGCGATAGTGGGGCCATCGCGTACGATGGAAAGGTTTGTTTCTTGCATTGTTTTTGTCTATCATTGGGGTGTTTATGGCTAATTATGGTGTAGACTATCAGATTTAGACCTACCAACGACTCGCCGAGGGAGATCACGGAGCAAGATACCGCCGTGGCCTCGATCAAATCGCTCATGGCTACGATGGCCACCCAGGTCGAGAGTCTGGAGAAGAAGATCGACGAGCTGAATCTGACTGCGAAGACGGCGCTGCAGAACAAGAATCGCGTCTCTGCGCTTTCGGCTGTACGCTCGAAAAAACTTGCTGAGCACAATCTCAAGCAGAGATTCGATACCCTGATGCAGCTCGAGGAGGTCTATTCGAAGATAGAACAAGCTACGGATCAGGTTGAGTTTGTTAAGGTAATGGAGTCGAGCGCTGGAGCGCTGCGTGGCTTGCATGCACAGATCGGAGGTGCGGCTAGGGTTGAGGATGTAGTGGAGGAGTTGCGTGATGAGATGACAAAGGTGGATGAGGTCGGAAACATCCTGAATGAGGCCGGTCCGCAGATCGACGAGATGGAGATCGATGAGGAGCTTGAGGAGTTGGAGAACAAAGAGCGGGAGGCGAGAGAGGAGAAGGAAGCAGAAGAGACCCGCAACAAACTTGCCGAACTCGACAAGCTCAAGCAGCGTGCCGAAGAAGCCGCGCGCAGTGCAGCAGCAGAGAGGGATCTTGATTCTGAGCTAGAGGAGAGGTTGTCCCGCATGTCGGTCGAAGAAACCCCCAGCGCCACAGCTCAGTGATCAAGGAGAGCAGCCTTTAACCGTCGAAGATTATATATACAGAACATGAGGTCTGGCGACCAGCATCACGGGAGCATTAGTGATGCATTTCAGTCAGTCCGCCATTGAATGACTCTGGTGGCAGTGGAGTCTCGGGCGCTACAGCACCTGACATACTGGCATCTACAGGCACACTGTCGGGAGGATCTGTGGTGTCCGCTGGCAACGAGGCATCTGTCAGCTCTGAAGCAGGTGTGTTCTGCATTGTACTCGACGCAGCGGATTCTTGTGGTGTTGTCGTACGCGCCGCCGCGCGACTCTTTTGCCGAGCATTGGCAATGAGTTTCTTGAAGTCGTCTTCATGGCTTGATGACCAAGCAGCTTTATCGAAATCCTTGCGCATGATTGATCCAGGAGCCTCGGACGATGAAGAAGATTGGTTGCCTTGAGTTCGTTCCCAGATGTCGAGTTCACGCAACAAGATTCCATGAGGCTTAGGCGACTTGGAGTCGCAATTAGCGTTCCACAGATTCACCCATTCGGTATGGCGTCTTTGCAGCAGTGGCCGTGGGCCTGTATTGGGGATGCCCAGATCTTTGAGCTTTTTCCGAAGCATACTCTCCTTATATAGAGAATAATTAATGGTTGGAAGTCTCTCAAGTGGTTTGTTCTTGGGATTCCTGTATGGAACTGGCGCAGACATCGACATTTGTAGAGAGCTATAAGAGTCAGAACCGTTTCTGACACACGTAAGCATGAGAGCATCCTTACCCGAAGGAAGTCTTGGGGGAAGCTTTGGGTGGTGCAGGTTCTCCGGTGCATTTATCAAGATGTGAGAACACGGCTTCGTTCTTCATCCTCCGCTGACATACAGGACACGCGACAAGTCCATCTGCTGGAAGCCAGCCTTTAGCACACTGCATCGGACAGCTCGTAGGACATGAAAAAAAAACATACCTGGAACAAACTCCTCATCCTGACTATCGTCAATCACCTCAATCACTTCTGCAGGAGCTTGCTGCGTCGGACCTCCCCCCCTCGCCTGCGAGCGCGTCCGCACCCCCTCCACTGACCTCACCGCAGCAATATCCGTCTCCGTAGAAGTAGTCGCGATCCCGTCTCCGAGCTCCCCCGACACATCTACCTTCCGCTTCTTCGCTGCCCGCGCTAAACCCCCCTCCTCACTATTTTGCTGCGCCGCCGCCGCCGCCTGGGTGGCTAGCTGCAAGACGCTCGGTCTCGCATTCTGAAACGTCTCAACGAGCTCCTGCACCGCCCAATTCTGCCGCAGCTTCAGCTCCTGGTCCGAGCTGCGACACGCGGGACATTTCCCCTCCGTGCTGAGACAGCGGCGGATGCACAATGAGCAGAATGTGTGGCTGCACGAGGTGATGACGGGGTTCTCGAAGAAGTCCTTGCAGACTTGACATCGCAGGGCGGACTCGAGCGGCGCGAGGAGGGACAGTGGCGTGGTCAGCCAGTCGGTCGAGTCGGGGAGGTCAAACGTCTGGTGGGCCATTGGGTGGTTAAAAGGTATCGACGGTGGACTATTGCGAAAGCATTGAGGTTCTGGGGTTTTGTTTGGTCGGTATTTCGGAAGCTGCTCGGAATTTAGATCCAAATGATAAAGTCAACCAACGCGACTCAAGGCTGGGTGATAGTAGTGCTGGTCAGGGTTAAGGTGAAGTACAATTCGGAGGGCGGAATGGATAAGTGAGATTTTTTGGAGGGCTTTCTTTGTAGGTAAGTAGACTATCAACTTATTGATGGAGGGATGGATTTCGGCGACGGCGGCGGCGGGTGGCGCCAAGACTGCCGCGGAAAAGAAGCTGGCTGACTGATACGCGTAAAGTGGTTTTGGTGGAGAACGCGTCCGTCGTCGGCCGATTTGTCCGCAGCTCACTTTTGTTGACTTCGTGCAAGTGACAAAAGCGAAACGCGATATTCTGACAACATGGCGATCGCGGACTATAAGACCTATCTGGCGGAGAATGTTCTCAATGAGCAGCGCACGGTGAGTCAAACCGGAAAGGAGTCTGTGTTTTGGCCGGGGATTGAGATTGGGATTCTGATTCGATTTCATGTGAATGCTTAGGTCACTTATCGCTCGCTGGGTCGAGCTCTCCGTGTGCATAGCACGTTAGCGAAGCAGTAAGTTCTACCGCGAACTGTCTCGTTCCCAGGGAAGCTCGTCTGCTAACGGTGGTTGATTGCAAGAATGCTGTACGACTTTCACCACAATGAGAACAACAAGAAACCCAACAGCGTCAATGCGACGTATATCCTCACGGGAGTTCAGAAGGCGCCCGAGCCAGCAACCTCCGCGAACGGTTTCCAGTCCAGCGCCGATACAGACGATATCCCCCCTAGCAGCCCCTACATAAGCAGCTCGATGCCGAACCAGGATGGCGATGCAGACGAAGTCGCGATCTCCTCGATACTGCTTGTGCGCGAGGAAGATCTGGAGGGTGAGTGGTGTCGCAGACTTGCGGGACGATTATGGCATGGTGCGTGGTCTTATAAGCTGATAATGGGGGCCAGATGCCAAAGCAACGTTCCAGTCTATCGCCTCGATATATGTCTACAGTTTACAGCCTACTGTGCTGCAGGATCTCAATGTCTTGACGGATGTGGCCCGGGAGACACTGGCCAACCATGCGCAGGAAGACCCGCTGGAGCACGGGTCATCCTGGGGCATGATTCAGAACAAGAACGTCAAGGTTTGTGTCTGTTTTATGTAGTCATTCTCGCCTATTGCCGTTCTAATGCGCTATTTGTGGGGGTTGTAGAGGAGAACTGGCGTTCGACCACCGGTACCTGCACCTGCACCTGCACCCGCCAAATCGGCTGCACCAGCGAAGAAGCCCACGGCAAGTGAAGCGCCAAAGCCGCCGAAGACGGAAACCAAGGAGGAGGAACCCAAGTCTCAGCAGTCGCTAAAAAGGGAGGATTCCGTCTCATCGACTAGGTCGACGGAGAAGACGGCACCGGTCAAGGAGAAGAGTAGCATATTCAGTTCGTTTGCCAAGGCCAAAGCGAAGCCAAAGAAGGTGGATGAGCCAACTCCCGCTTCTTCTGGCGTTGATACGGTTAGTTCTCTTCCGGTCTCACGTGCGGTTTCGAATGCAGGCTAACAGGTATATTAGGCCGAACCTAGCGCCTCTGAAGATGGTAAGTGTATGAGAAGTTTTCAGAAAATGACGGTGACTAATACTGGGCAGTTGTTCTGGACGACGCATCCGAGGACGAGCCTGACGAACTATTCCCTGACTCGGGCAAGTCTGCTTCTACCAGCACGCGGGAGACTCGGAAAGAGCGGGAGGAGAGGCTTCGGAAGATGATGGAGGATGATGGTATGTTCCTCCATTCTGCCTCATTGGCAGCTGTTGACTCGTACAGATGAGGAAGAAGATGAAGAAATGCCTGATGCCGCGCCGTCACCCGAAGAGGAGTTTAATGTCATCGACCAACCACCTCCTAAAGCGGCCGAACCCAAGGAAGAGGTGATTGTCCGCGCAGGCCGTCGACGAGGCAGGCGCCAGGTGATGAAGAAGAAGACGGTCAAGGATGAAGAGGGCTACCTCGGTGAGATCTCCCTCGGTGTACTTTTTTTCCGGAAGACATTCACTGACTATTTGGTCTAGTCACCGTCGAAGAGCCGAGCTGGGAGTCATTTTCGGAGGATGAACCAGCACCGCCGCCCAAGAAGAAGCCGGCCGTAAGTGCGCCCAAGGGGAAAGCCGGGCCTAAAGCTGGTCAGGGCAGCATCATGTCGTTCTTTGCAAAGAAATAGCGAGGCAGTGGTGGAGGCGAGGGTGGTGGCATGATACAAGAACGGAGCGGTGTTTACACTGTACAACGTAGAGATCTCTATCAGACAACTAGATACCGATCTATCGCAGTTATGGAGCGTGTCGAGTCACAAGTCATACGATGCAGACGGTGCAGACGGTGCAAGTGTAACAATGCAATGCGACGCGACCGAATGACGGCCTCGGCGCCGATCCCTGTTGATCTTCTCCGCATCTCTGGCCCGCATTCCAACTTCCTTCCCCTTGTCACCTCCGTCACGCCCACCAGTCCACTTCTCCATCATGCCTCCTCCTCTTCCTTTCTTTTCACCTTGGTCTTTGTGGAATAATTGTTTATCTCCCACTGTGTCGCACCACACCGACTTCCTAAAATACCTAGGCTCGTTATGACACGCTCTGCGGCACTAATCGTCGTTCTAGCAGCCAGTATAGGCGCTACAAGTGCTACAGTTCGCGATGAGCAGGCGATTCTGCGGCGTTCCTGTCCTGACTACCTATCCTATTCCTCTGTCGGACAGTGAGTTGCGACTCTGGCCTTCCAACTTTGAAGATTCCAACTAATCACCCGCAGTGCCCCGTACAGCGGCGGTGCCTTGAATCTGCCGTTCCAGCGCCCTTCTGTCGAATGCCGGGCCTTCTCTTCACCTGCAGTAGAGACTGTCATTGAAGATGTGACGTCGCGAATGGTCGACAAAGACCTCGCGCAGCTGTTCCGGAATGCCTTTCCCAACACGCTAGACACGACCATCCGCTGGCACGTCAACGGGACCCAGACATCAACGTCAACAGATTCCCCGAAGCGGAAACGAGCCAACAACAACGCACCTCAATGGCAAGGGCTGCAGTCCTTCATAGTCACCGGCGACATCAACGCCGAATGGCTGCGCGACTCGACCAACCAGCTCTCCGGCTATCAGGCCCTGGCCAAGGAGGACCAGGCTCTCTACAACCTCATCCTCGGTGCCATCAACACCCAGGTGGAATACGTCATCCAGTCCCCCTACTGCAATGCCTTCCAGCCGCCCTCGGCAAGTGGCATTCAGCCGGCCAGCAGCAGCCAGCAGGACACGGTGACGCCAGCGTACAACACCTCCGTGGTCTTCGAGTGCAAGTACGAGCTCGACTCGCTGGCCAACTTCCTCGCGCTAGGCACCCAGTTCCACGAGCACACGGGGTCGACCGAGTTTCTGACTCCGAGATGGTACCAGGCCCTCGACACCGTGCTGCGGGTCCTCGACGCTCAGTCCCAACCGACGTTCAACGCCGCCCAGCAGTACGTGACGAACGAGTACACCTTCCAGCGCCAGACGACCCTGGGCACCGAGACCCTCAATCTCGCGGGGATCGGCAACCCGCTCAACGGCGGCACGGGGCTCATCCGCAGCGCCTTCCGGCCCAGCGACGACGCCACCATCCTGGGCTTCTTCATCCCCCCGAACGCCATGATGGCCGTGCAGCTGCAGAAAACCGCCGCGGTGCTGCGCCGCCGCGCCGCGGCAGCGGGGAACGGGAACAACAACAAAAACAACAACGCAACCCACCTCGATGTCGTCGCGGATGACCTGCAGTCCCGCGGGGAGAAGCTCGCGCAGGCCGTCCGCGAGCACGGCATCGTTCATCACCCGGTGTACGGCGACGTCTACGCCTTCGAGGTGGACGGATACGGCTCGCGCATCCTGATGGACGACGCGAACGTGCCCTCGCTGCTCTCACTGCCGCTTTTAGGTTTTGTCGACCAGCAGGACCCCGTCTATCAGAACACGCGCAAGATGATTTTGAGTCCCGCCGGAAACCCGTACTATCTGACCGGGACGGATTTCCATGGTATCGGGGGTCCGCATAGTATGTCCCCCCCTCCCCTATGTTTCCCGGCTTGGGTATTTCCAATCTTCAGAGAAGAAAAGAGGACTAATTTTTTCTCTCTTGTTTTCGTGTAGTCGGTCTACAGAATGCATGGCCCATGTCCCTGCTCGTGCAAGCGATGACCACGGACAACATCACCGAAATCACCGAGTGCGTGAACCTGGTCCGCAACTCGAGTCTGCTGGGCTTGGTCCACGAGTCGATCAACGTGAACAACATCTCCACGTACACGCGGCCGTGGTTCGCGTGGGCGAACTCGGTCTTCGCGCAGACGATCCTCAAGCTCGCCGCCGAGAAGCCCGCTTTGGTGTTTGGGGAGGGGGCCGAGCCGTATGTTATTGAGTAGAGAGAGTGTGTGTGTATGTGTGCGTGTGTTTGGAGTGTACGTGTGGGTACTCTGCTCGTGAGACATATTACACCCGCTGGTGTTGAGTTTGGTCTGCGGCTTTAGCGTGTACATACGTCTAACCTCCAATAGCATACCGAGCATTCAGTCAACTGTACGTCGCGAGGCTAGATTCTCTTCATAAGGAGTCAAGTGCTCATAAGTCTACATTAGGCTCATCAATCTTGTAAGTTTATACATACATAAAGAAGTCTGTTCTACACCAAAACCCTCCGCAACCCCTCCGTCCCGCCCAATACCCTCCTTCCAGTAACCGGACATCTCCCCCTCCCACTCTCCCACTTGCCCCTCCGACTACCACCCTTCGCTTTGATCTTCCCCTCCTCACATTCCGCATCTTCACCACCGGCTTGCTTGGCCTGTTGCGCCTCCAGCGCCGCATCCGCCTCCTCCCACGGCGCCCCGGCCGCGGCCTCCCCGTCCATGAAATCGATCTGTCGCTGATGCTCCCCATTCAACCAGTGGAAGACACACACATAACAGAAGACGTAGCCCGTCTGGCAGGCCGTGGGGTTGGTCAGCGTGTTCAAACAGATGGGACAACATGATTGCGCGGTCTCCGAGTCCGCGGCGGGCAGGGGAACGGTGAAGATGGGGAGGTAGGAGGATGCGGAGACGGGGCTGCGACGGTCCTGGGGTTCTTTTGCGTCAAGTTGGGTCTCGCTGGTCGGAGACTTGAGGGCTGATTTCAGTTGCGCGGGGGAAGAGGCGGATGCTTTCGCGTCGTCGGGGTTCTTCTTGTTGGAAGATCTCCGTTGCGAAGGCGGGGTCATCCCGTTGGCGACGGGGGCGGGCAGATCCAGCACTTCCGTGGCTTTGCGGGCGAGCTGCCGCGAGAAGTCGCTGGCGTGGTACCATTCCAGGAACTTGAGGGCGAAGATCGAGGCCGGGAGGAAGTAGCGGAGGGAGGTGAGGAGTTGGGCGTGCAGGTTCTGCGGGCTGAGCAGGCCCAGGAGGCTGGAGCCGGGGCGGGTGCGGGAGCGAGTGGTGGGTGCTGATGGAGGGTCGAGGACCGCGGCGATGGCGCGGTGGTCGGCGGAGCTGAGGCGGCGGATGCGGGTGCCGATCAGCCACAGGAACGGGGAGGAGTACTTGGTGTTGTCGAAGAGGTAGGCGAGGTTGAAGGCGAGGATGCTCAGGTAGTAGCCCGCGTTGAGCGAGGGGTAGATGTTCCGCAGGAACCATTTGTAGTAGTGGAAGAGCCGCTGGCGCAGGGTGGGCCGCGGCGGGAGCTCGTCGCCGGGGTGGTAGCGTGGGCCGCCGCTCATGATCAGCGAGGCCTGCGGCGCCGCGTGCATGTCGTACCCTTCGTCCAGCTTGCGCTTGAGGTACGGGATGCCCACCATGATGAGGAGGTTCTTCCACACATCCCCCGTGCGGAGTTGGAGGGCATCGCGCACGGGGCCCGGCGCGCCGATCTGGGCGCGCGGGATCTCGCCATTCTTCGTGAGCAGGACCCGTTCGCGCTTCAGCGAATAGAAGTTCTCTGTGAAGGAGCCGCCGAAGGTGCGGAGGTAGTATCGTTCGACGAGGAGCGAGAGAAGCGCGTAGATCTCATCGTAGGAGTTGAGGATGCGGAGGAGGTATCGCGGGTGGCGGTGGGTGGCGACTGCGAGGATGTAGCGGATGGATGGGGGGAGGAGGTCGGAGAGCTGTTGTTCGGCGAGGAGCTCTACAATGCAGCAGCGGATTAGTTAGTTGGGTGTGGATTGTGAGATAAGAAGTGGGTTGAGGCTGGCTGTCTCCGTACTTACCGAAGAGAGACGGCTTCAGCTCGTCGAATTCCTGCTGCAGACTCGGTAAGTACTCCATACTGTCGTAGCAGTGCCAGTCATCATCCCCTGGAGGGCGACAGGGGTGAGTTAGAGATAGAGCGGTTAAGTGGATGGGTTGAGGAGGGAGATTCAATGGTGGTCGGGACAAGATGCGGAGGAGAAGCGCTGGGGCTGAGCCGAGGCTTATCGGCCGGCCGCCTTCCACTCCGCTTCGGTCTGGCTGCTGATGATCCGGCAGATCAGCGGCCTCCAACGTTGACACTCATATCCACCATCTTGATCACAAATGGGTCAATTGGGTCCAGCAAAGATGTCTCATAACTCCGACTCACCAATGTGGCTGTTGGCTAACAGAAGGGCTCTACCTTGCTATGTATGAGAACATGCAGATAGAGTTCATGAGAATTCTCGCCTTGGATGGACCAGACACCTTCACACCAGAGAGACTACAAGAGAGACAAGACAGAAGCTTTCTAGTACATGAACTGCGTTGCTCTGCCTATCATACACTGACTGACGTCTGTCCAAAGTTTCGGGAACAAAGCTGAAATCACACCGACAGGTTGTCGTGATGTAACTGGAGTAGCCACGGCTGCTAAGATAGCTTTCCCAGGCAAGGTTCTGGAGGAAGAGCACATTAACGCTGTCTTCGTCAAGCAAGCTAAGAATCCCAGGTATTCTTCATCACCACATTAACAGCCACAGATATGACACGCCCGGACGTACGAGCAAAAAGGAGTACTGTACTTCCGCTCCACCGCCCCAATCAAACCACACAGCAAGTCTCGCACAGCCCATGCTCCTCACCCTTCGACATCACCGATTTTGCGGATGCTCATTCTCCCCTTTAGACCACATGGCAGCCGCCTGGATAGCCTCATCCCGGATCTGCATCAACTGTTCCAACTGCCTGCCCTCGGAGACCCGCTTCAAGGTTCCCACCTCCGGAAGGTCGATACACCGCACGACCAGCCGCGCGATCTCCCCCTGCGCAGCCGAAGCGGGGAGTCCCTCGCGCGCCATCATAGGGAACCACATCAGCACGCAGCGTTCCGCGCGGCGCGGATCCCCCAGCTGCGCGTGCAGGCGGAACAGCATCGCGTAGTCCTCGGCGCTGCGCGGCGCTCCCTGCAGCGGAATCCGGCGCCACAGCTTCCAGAAGGTCTCGTCGTCGCCGTTCTGGAACAGCATGGTCATGAGGCTTCGCGCGTCGTCCGGGTGGTAGGGGAGGTGGAGCGCGGTGATCATTCGCGAGATCCGGGTGGCTGCGTCGATGTCGTTGTCGTCTTGCTTCCTGGCGGATGGGCTGGGTGCAAAGAAATCATCATCCGTGTCGGTATCGACCGTGGTGCGAGGCTGCGGTGGGGAAAAGATAGCGGCCTGGTAGAGCATGGCGAACGTCCCCATGACGAGGACCGGCGTCCCCTGCAGGGAGAGGTACTCCAGCACGCGCAGCGCTAGCTCTTTGTCCGCGTCCGGCACCTGGTCAGGGAACTCTGCATCGTTGGGGGCTCGCGGGGTCAAGAGGGTGGAGACGACGGAGTAGCCCAGATGATCGGAGACGGCGCCTCCCGCGGCGGTGTGTTCGCCAAATGCCTCGTAGAGAGTCTGCTTGCTCGGTCCGGAGGGAGGCTTGTGTTGATGGTCGGCGATAACGGCATCGAGTAGGTTTGTTGTTGGTGGTGGTGTAGGTCCGCGCGGGTGTCCAGCAGGTCTAGAACTCGGCGCTGGGGAAGTGTAGCATTGGATTTGGAGTAGACAAGGAGATTGATAACGCGGTATTGACGTGGCTTTAGCTGAGAGTACTTTACATCGAATACCTGGTCTAAACCAGGGTCTTCGAGGAAGAAGCCCACTCATCTTGTTGTTGTAGACGATTGCTGAGAATAGAAGACACCGTCAGTCCCATCACACGACTACTACTGAAAGGCTAGGCTAACCGCCGTCATCTCCTCATCGGATGCGGGGAAGCGCAATGCTACTAAGCCAGAATGGGCCGAGCGCCCCACAGAAGCCCAGGAACCATGCAAGTGACAGCCGCATTTACCGCCTGCTACACCGCCTGTGGCGGCAGATCGCTCGCGACCTCGCAACGGAATCCGCGATTTCTGGGATGAACAGGCCCAGAAAAAAGGTGGGGCAGAGTGGTAGGTTTTGGCGGTGGCAGAAAATATCCACCCGATCTGGAATAGCTTCATTTTCGCCAGCGGACTACAGTACAGCACATGTGTATAAGGTACACAGCCAGACCAACTGTGTCAGACCACTAACATATCGCTCTCATAAACACAAACCAGATCTACTACTTGTAGATGACGGCAGCACTCTGCTCAGTCATTACAAGCTACAACATCTTTCCAAGCTAGTCACCAAAACCTTGAGGAATCATTCATGAACACTGGGATATCGATAAGCCAACCAATCAGACAGAAAAAAAAATGCTCCCTGTACAAGATACACCCGCAACCTTGAAGACACTCATAGAGATCAGATTTGAAGCACGCAACATCAGCGTCAAAAAATCTTCCCCAGAACCCGTTTCGTCTCCGCCCCAAGATCCTTGAAATCATCCGTACTCTTATCCCGTCCCAACTTGACCTCATTCTGCCTAAACACCCGCCGAACCTTGACATTGCCATTGCCATTAGCATCCTTCTTCTCCTTACCCGCAGGAGCAGCAGCAGTCCCCTCAGCAGCACCCCCGACAGCCAACTTCTCCAACCTCCTCCTCTCCTTCTCCTCATTCTTCCTCCGCATCCCATCCAGCACCTTCCCACGCTCCACCCCCTCCAAGAATACCTTATCCTCCTTGCGGGCCTTGGAGTCCTCCGCGCGCTGCCGCGCCTCGCGCTCCGACCGCTCGCGCGAGATCTGCTCCTGGAGATCACTCCACTTGAAGCCGCGCAGGTACTTGAGGTTGAGGATGTCATCGTGATAAAACCCGCCCTTGCGCCCGCCGATGATGTTCCCGTTCAGCGCCTCGGCGCAGATCTTGGCCGTCCGCTTGCTGGCGAACTCCAGCCACCCGTCCGCGTAGGTCTTGCGCTTGTTCGTGGTGCGCCGCTTCTTCGTCTCGGGCGTCAGGAAGACGCGCGTGATCGGGCCGAAGCCGCGGGCTTCGATGAGGTTTTTGAGGGCGAATCTTTACGCCACAAAAGGGTCAGCGTTGGCGTGAACGAGTTTTCCACAATCGGAGTATTAGGGGTCCATTATTTGGTACGTACGGTTTGAGATGCGGCGGAAGCGAACTGAGATATACGACACCGGTCTTGTTTTTCTTGTCCTTCTTCAGGAGCGGGGTTTTCTTCTTGTTGGAGGGGGAAGCAGTAGCAGCGGTAGCATCTTCTGTCGCGGCATCTTCTTCTTCTTCGTCTTCATCTTCGTCCCCGGAGGCCGCCGTAGCAGCGCGAGTCGTGGGTTTCTTGGCCTTGGCCCTGCCCTTGCCCTTGGATCTCTCCTCCTCGCTGTCGGACGCTGCATCGAGATCGGAGTCGTCCGAGTCCAGCCCATGAAGATTGTCGGTGTCGTTCACCCGGCGCCGTTTGGCGGAGCGCAGCGCGCCTTTGCTCTGTGCTTCTTCGTCGGCGGCCGAGTCGTAGCCCTTGTCTTGGTCGTCGTCATCGCTGGCGGCGAGATCGAAGGGGTCGTTGCGTTTGCGCGAGGTCATTTTCTTTAAGTTGCTGATGGTATTGGCTGCGCAAGTGGCTAAAATTAAAGTGCTTGCGATGGCTGAGGCCCGCCGCGCATTTAGAGTTGCAACTTTTTTGCCAGGCGGCCGGTCGTTGATTGGCCTGTGCACTGCCCGGCCGGGTGGGCCAATCGGGGAGGAGAAGTGGCGGACTCGACTTTGCTCTCTTTCTACTAGATAACTTGCAAGCGGAAGATTGTAGATCATTCTACAGTTTGGCTTTACGCTTTTACTGAGTACATGTGAAATCTAGATATCCAAAAATCATCGCAGGGCAAACAATCAATCCAGAAAGACACAAGATCTAGCATCAAACATACAATGTATATGCTCTATGTACAAGACTCTGTACTCCGTCACCGCAAATGTCTCGGCGAAAGATGGGTATGAACAAATGGTATAGACAACACTCAACTCAACTCTCGACCCCTTCCCTAACGCCCATATCTTTCGGAAGATCTAGAAGAGAAACAACAGAATAAAAAATTATGTCGCTATATACCGAGGGACCACTTCAACCGTTCATAGACAAAGAACCCGGTGGCCGTCATGGGGACGATCTTCATATATCCGATCGTCAGACCGACCCAGAAGCCTCGGAAGCCTCGCTCCAACATAATGGTGCGCGCCGTCTCGACGATCCCCAGCCGATGGCCGTCCCCGACGACGCCTCCGACCTGCATTCGACGCCGGACGACCTCCAGCGGGTACGAGGATGTCTGGGAGACCAGCCCCGCCAGAGCACCGGAGGTGAGTTCCGCAGCGGCAGTCAGCTGGAGTCGTCGAGAGCCCTTCTTTGATTGAGCGGTCGACTCGGATTCGGGGATGGTGGTGTAGGGGGCGAGGGAGGGGGAGCGCAGCCAGTCGCCGACGGTGTCGTGAGTCAGGAAGGACATGCCAGCGTAGGGGAGCATGCCCAGAAGCGTCGGGGCGAAGCCGCGGTAGAAGTTTGCCAGTCCCGAGTGCGGGACGGCTTTGTTCACGGTGGCAGAGACAGTCTCGGCCGTCGCCGTGATAGGGGCCTGTGTCCCAGATACCCCGGTGGACGTCGAGGGGGGCGTCACCCGTTCGTTGTAGATCTGTCGGAAGATGTCGGTGAAAGAAGAGCGAGCGGTTCGTTTCGTCTCGAACGCTAATCGCACTCGGATCAACTCTAGCGGGTATGTGAAGAAGACCGACGTGATGCCCGCCATACTCCCGGAGACGAGTCGGCGCAGCGGCGTTTCCTTGTCGGGCGACGGGATCATCACCGCCCGGTACTGCTCGTAGGCAAGGAACTTAATCGCAGCGTAAGGGAAGATACGGAGGAGAGTCGCAGAGTGTCCTTTGAAGAGGCCTTGGAGGCCTTCGCGGCGTTTGATGTCTCGAATGGCCGCGACAAGACCGAACCAACTGCCGGTGTATTTTGCAAATTGCGGATTCGAGGCCTGAAAGAGAATCTTGACCCGATCGAGGGGCGCGACAACGGTTTTGGCCTACGATGTTTGTCCACAGTCAGTCCATCCGTCTACCGCCAGCTGCAACGTGTGGGATCATGGGGGGAAAAAAACCTACCGCACACCCCGCCAGACCCCCCGCAACACCGCTGCGTACGATATAGTCTACGCTGCGCTTGTTCACCTCTTTCGTGGCCCCGCGGCCGTTCTGTGCTTGGTGTGGGGAGGACGCATCGTCCACCGCGGTCGCCTGTGTCGTGCCCACGGCTAATCTCTCTTTTGCGTCACTGGCTGCTGGACCTCGGGCCGGCCTTGACTGAGCGACTTGCTCCATTGAAGAAGGCTGTGAGCTGGGCTGGAAGGACTATTTGACTGGAAGGACAGTAATTCGAATTCTGATGATAGACCGGTCAGCGGCGGCGCATAATCTGATACCGTCACCGGTGTCAACACAATCCTGGCGCGAGGTCAAATCTGCAGATTATCGAGCAGGTCACGGGCTAACGGATGATTGCGGCCATGGATATGGTCGTCAAAGGTGATGTAGAAGGGAGGGAGAAGTTGGCGCGGGAGAATGTAAGAGAATGTGCGGGGAGGGGAATGTAGAGGACAAGGCCGCAGCAAACCGAGGGGGGCAGATAAGCCTAGGTAGAGATGATCAGCTGGCAAAGGTCACCACCCTGACGCTGCATTTGATTTGATTATTATCTGGATGGATCCAACGGTCGGAAGAGGCAAGACAGCATGCGGGCACCCTCTGGGAAGGGACGGCCTGATGGGCGGAAACTCAAGATTCAGAACGGAGATGACGTTACAGCCCTGACATGCCGATACCTGCCGCCGACACCTATTAGTGCTGCAGTTACCGTCATATAACGCCCCTGCATCCGACTGGGTGGCGGAAGTGGATTTCTTCTGTTTGGTAGGCCAACCGCAGCCGAACAATTATTCACGCTCATCGCTCTTTATGCCTGAGGCAGCAGCAGCAGCAGCAGCAGCAACAACATCATAATCTCACTCTTGCTACTCGGCCTGCCATCACTACTTCCAGTTCCTGCATTTACAAATACAATGAACGAGTCTAAGACCATGTTTATCTTCATGCAGCCCTCTTCAAGGCGCGACAACTGCTTAATTCTCAATCCGAGACTAAACTTATATACTCCTCCCGTCAATGTTCAGTAGAGGGCCGAGATCCCTCGCTCCGCTCCCTCCCACAGCTTTCCTTCGATATGCATGTATATATAGAGTGAGAAGCTGAATTTGACAAAAGTAATCATGGTCACATCGCTCATGCAAGTTCTATCAAAAACTCCTTTTTCTTAGTAGCTATAGCCACCCAAATGTATAGCCTCGACCAGGCCCAGATCCAATAATCCTATAACACCTCTAATCCCAGAACAGAAAATCAATGAAAGCGAGACGGCGGCTGCTCTAGAAGTTGTAGCGTGTGCCTTGTCTTGTCAGAGGCTTGCCTTGGCGGTTGGTTGCCTTGATCTCTTTCGACTCGTCGATAGCTCGTTTGGCTCGTTTGGTCGGGCGGGAGGCATCCACATGAAGGTGTCCATTGTCATTGATGCTCGTGTTGTTTCTCCAGCGCATGCAACGATGCTTGTTGTCGTCCACGTAGGTCTTGTTGCGCGTCATGACTCGCTTGCTGGGGATTTCCTCCGACTCTGCCCGTTCTGCCGTCTGCTCCAAGTACTCCTTGCGGTGTTGCATGTATGTAGCGATCTTGTCACGCTGCAGTTGTAGCTCCTTGCGCAGCCTTGACTCTCGGTTACCACGGGAGTCCAGCCAGTCAAGCAGCTGCTCGATAGCATCTGGATCGTCATAATAGCCCCATTCGGTTGCGTTCGTCAGTTGCGTTGGTCCTTCCTCTTGTTTTTTGCGCTCTGCTGGCGTAGTCTGGAACTGCTTGAAGTATTGCTTCTTGTATTCGTCGGATACGTCAATGAAGCCCACGCGTTCCAACTCATCCGGACCTTGGACCCATAAGCGGCCGTTTGCGTACTGTGCCTCTGCTGTGGAGCTGTTGGGCATGCCTCCATACGGCATCGCGTTTCGTTCAAACCACCAGTAGCGGTTGCAGAAACGGTCCTTGCCGAGGCATCTGGTTCGCGGGCAATCGGCTTCCCTCAGATCGTTATCGATAACCTCGATCTTATCTTCGAGCTTCTTGACTGCGGCTTTCTGATCCTCAATCTTCTTGAGCACTCTCTGATACTGCTTGGTTCCCTTAGGTTGCTTGGCCAATTGTTCTTTCCGCTCGCGCTCCTCTTCTTGCTTGCGCTTGCGCTCAAGTTGTCGGTCCAAGCCACCACGAAGACTCCGCTGGGGAGCTGCCTCTTGGTCGGAGTTATCGGAATCACCGTCAATGCCAGTCATCTTCGAGTCCTCCAGGGCGTCCAGTTCCGGCGCTGGCGATGGAGACTTCTCGGGCTCCGGTTGAAGAGCCTTACGCTCCTGGTGTAAGCGACGAAGCTCCTCGAGACTGTGAAACAACGATAAGTCAATAAGCAATATTCTCGGACAAGCACAGAAACGACATCATGATTGATGTAGCGTCAAACAAAACGGGCGGGTGCGGAATCGTGATACTTACACTACTTTGCGTGCTTTCTGGTATTCGATCTTCTCCTTGCGGAACTCCGTCATCTGGTTACTGCACTCCTCGAGGTAATTTCGAATAGCTTTCGTTTCAAGGCTGAGCATGCAGATAATTTGCAATGCATGGATGCGAAGGTTGATATCCAAGGTGGCGTATTGGTACTGAGCAGTTTCCTGAGTTGCTTCGGCATCCAAAGGAGCCAGATGTTCGAGAATTTTGTTGCAGACTTCCTTCATGCGCGGGCGGCCTGAAAGCCGATTGAGGAGGCCGACCATGACCAGTTCCCAACCACCATTCCGGAAATCCCGTTTCCGCAGACGCTCAATCCAACCATATTCTCCAAACATTTCGGCGGCTCGATGAACCGGGATCTCCTCTGCACTGGAGCCCTCACGCTCTGCCTGCGCCTTCAGATTTTCCGCTTCGGCCTTGGCTAGGCTACTCCGAGTCGTCATCCTTGTCACCACTGGCTCCGGTTCAGGGGTAGGCTCTGCCTCCTCTTCATCCTCTTCCGCCTCCGAGTCGTCGGATTCTTCGTCAGGGAGTTCTGGAAGAGAAATTTGTACAGCACCCTCTTCATCCTTCTCCGCATTGACGAGCTTCTTCAGCACAGCGCAATGGATTTCAACAAACAGCTCACAGTCCACGTCCTCAGAGGAGAATCGCATGGCCTGAAAGAAGTCATCAAAAGTGAAGGAGTCCAGTTGGAAGACCTCACAGTAGACATTAAGCGTGTTCCACGTTTCCAAAAGACGTCCCACAGACTCCATCTCGAGAAAACTGTGCAGGAGCTCTTCATCATCTGAGTCATCAACCTCGTCGGTGGTCATATAGCTAAGAGCTGGGCGCTGCTTTTTCTTCTCGGGGTCTGGCGCAATATCCAAATCCTCAATAGGGTACTTAATTGGCGGTGGTGTCGGCTCCTTTGGAGGTTCGGGCTTGACAACCACGACGGGAGGAGGTTGCGGTTGCGGTTGCGGTTGCAACTTCTTCTCCGTTTCCTGAGGTTTGGGGGGACGAGCAGCTCCGTTAGCCTTATGCGCAAGAAGGAACGATGGATTGCCGTTCAGAGACCGCTGATATTCCAGAAATTGGGCCTCCTTCGAGCGAACAAAATCTTGCTGCGATGGCTTGAGCTTTTGTCCTTTGACTGCGGGTTTCAGTTCTGGTAGTTGCTGCGAAGCAAAGAATCCGAAGAAGCCCTCCTGGTCGGCCTTTTTCATAGCCTTCTTTTCGGCAACCTTGGCGCCATACTGCAGGTGCTTCGGTACTTCGGTCGGTATTCTGTATTCCTCGGCAATCGAAGGTTTCACCAACCAAGGAGCGCCATTCCACGCCTCCCGTGTCACGTTGTTCTTGATGAAGGCGCGCAGCATTTGCTTGGTGAAAGTCTTCCGGTCTCGGGTGATATGGTCCTGGTCCAGCAGCGCTTCCTCATTTGGACGGTCCAGAACCTTGACAAGATAGGTGCTATGGGCGGGCAGCTTGACGGTTCCATCCGGGTGGAGTTGTTCGGCAAAGTTGGCCTTGTCCCTTATAATACCATGCAGACGGGTGTTGTCGTCGAGAAGAATCAGAACGGGTTCCCCGGGATAGAAGTCTTGCTTAAATTCCTGCGAGCCGGGTCAGCATCCGTCTCTATCACCGGATCTACATTTCCTCTAGTATATACCTCAAAGATCTCGTCCACTACACCCCATTGTCAGTCTCAGCGATAGCAATTTTCAAGGAAAGAAATCAGACATACCGAGATTGTCGACCCGCGACACTGTGGAAAACTGAATCCGGCGGAGAATTGGTTCTTTCAAGGCGTCGGGAAAAGCACTGTTAACTTCACGCGATTCCTCCATCTGATGCAATCTGTTAGCGGAGATAGCATAGGTCGGTTGCCTTGTCACATACCTCGCTCTTCAAAGCCTCGAAAAATGTCAATCCCGAGTGACCCGTGATCTCACAAATGAACCTTTTCTGCTTGTAGAAGTCCATCCGCTGAAGGTAGGGTTCATAGTGAATGAAGACCTCGTTGGTCTCTGGGATGACCCAAACCTGCAACTTCAATGAGCCCCATGCATAGACTGTATTGAAAATTCTGACCGCGAGATATACGCACTTCGGAGCTGTCATCTTCAATGACGGGCCGTGGAAGGTATTGAACTGGTTTCCGCTTGAACAGGACCTATGAGACGCGGCGTGAGTTTTGTGTTCGAACGTTTGTGACCACCCCGCAAACCCCAAATAACCCCAAACTTCGCACTCCGAACTTGCCGACGTACCATGGTCTCTTAGGTTGCTGTAGACACGAATCAATCGATCATAGATGGTTGAGCGTTGTGCAGGTCGGGAACATGCCTAACATTTAAATTGTTGTGTTAGTATAATGGCGCAATGTTGAGAGACAAAGAGACTATCAAAGAGATTGAGCACAAAGTGCAGTGCTATTTGCGGCGAGACAAAGGAAGAGATGATACTTCGGGGACAATGCGCGCGCATAGTGGACTCGAAATAGCTTGCAAGAACTTTCATGGGACATTCTCGGGGGAAGCAAAAGTGCTGGATAGGCATGGGAGTTAAATTGTAGAAGTATGTAGAAAACTTACCCAAACGACGCGTGCTGGATCGCGCAACCCACGACTCCGCGGACCAGGTGGGCGGAGCACGACACGAGAATTGAACCCGGGAGGAGCGTGGAGTCGCGCGAAAGGCCGGGACTGAATTGCCGATCTCTAAGCGGGAGAAATATAGGTATCCCAGAAGAGGCTCCTCTGGTGCGGGGAGGTAAATGCGACGGTGAGGGTGGGTGAGTGGGGTGGGGGGGGCGAGTGAGGGTAGTCAGGTAATGAGGCTGTAGAGAGTGTCGAGGGAGAAGAGTAGAGAAGAAGAGGAGGAGGAAGTGGAGGAGGAGGCGGAGGAGGAGGAGAAGAAGAAGAAGAAGAGGTCAAGGCAGAAAGGAGAAGCGGTCGCCGCAGAAGAACGAACGGCAGAACTGGAGCGGGCCCCATCTGTAGGTAAGGTAAGAGGAGTGGAGGATCATTGCGGCAACTGAGCAGTGAGTGAGTGAGTGAGTTGCTGTGGGAGTGGGTGGGAAGGCCGCCGAGCAACGGAAGGCGGTGATTGGACTAGAGGAGGAGGAAGAGAACGGACAAGACGTTCGGGTCGGGCGGACTGACTACTGAAGTAGGGGTAAAACCGTGGACCTTCCCCCGCTAATCCCCTTTGGGCCGACATCGCCCTGCCCTGCCCTTCTCCCCTCTGACTGCCCTCCTCCCTCTTCCTCTTCTAGCCTTCGCTGCTGTTGCCCGCCCTCAATTTCCTCCCCCACCACCACAACTCTACATGTATTTACACTCGTTCGACTCGTTGTCTTCACGCGAACACAGTGGTGGGCTCGGGATAATTCCTTTTTGTCAGTCTTTATCATCCCTGCACAGAAACCATAATTCCATCGAGACCCAGCTGCGGGGACCATACTTCGGGCTCGATATCCGACAGCAACCCACCCTCAAATGACAGCGCACTCTCATGAGAGATCATGCTCGAATCGCCCGCGTTTCTTCTAAATTCAATTTGCATAGCCATGTGCATGGACGAGGAAAAGGCTATCGTGTCGTAGCCATGATATCTTTCCCATCTCGTCAAACACGCGACCTTATAGATCGCCTCGGAAACGACACCAGCTTCGCGGTCCACAGGTACATGCCATTTTACGTCTCTGACAACAACCACCCAACAAGCTAGATTGCAAGTTAGTGTCTAACGTCCAATTCAAACAGAGATGAGCTAGTCTTTCGTCTTGCAGTGTGACTATATCAGGCTCGCACTCCCAGACATCGCTGGACAAACTACTTCTAGTCGACTATCTCATCGGAATTATGTACCAATCATCAAGCACATCTGGTCGTCTGCAGCGTGCATGCTTACATCTTACTTGTTCGGCCGTCTCCCTTATAATCGGCTAACACGCGTCTTGTGTGGCGAGACATAGGTAACCGGAAAGGCTCACAATCGACGATTTGCGGAAACCACCCGAAGCCCGGTTGTTTCATCCACAAGACCCCCATGACTTATATGCCGATCTTGACTCTCTCTCTTTTCTAGTAATGTCTACTCAGGTCGAAGAACGACGGTATCACGGCTTTGGGCACAGTTGAATTAATGCATCTTCCTCGACCTATCTTGCTCGGGAAAGTCCACCCCCGAACATAGACTGGCTCATCTTCAGTGCTCTAGGGCAATGACTGCGGCGACGGAGCTAGAAGATTCAGGTTTGAGAATGTTTATCAGCACAAACGAAAAGGAGACACAATAGGAAACTGCCAGGTGTAGATGCAGACACTGGGCCGGCATCCATGGAGGCTTGAAAGACCGACAAAATCCAAACATTAAGCTTATGAATGATGTCATAAATAGCTTCTAGCATTCTTCTATTCATCAGTGAGCCCACCATGCATATTGCTTCAGTCCAATGGCGCGGTGTGGACAAATTCGAATGCGGTGGCAAGAATACAGGCAAAGCCCCGATTCTAGAACCCCACGCCATAAAGTCTCTGCAAGGAAAAAAGAGAAAAAACCCGGCATTATTATCGTCAGTCATATAGACACGAACAACCAAATCCCTTCTGATCCCACCAATCAGTACTTGCTGCACGATTCTGCTGCATCACATCACAACACAAAAAAAAGTCCATCTGATCCCTCGCCGAACGGCAACCGACAGCCCGAAGTATAAATCGAACACTAAGACAAGCCACATTGTGTTTGTCTACCCCAACAAATACCACACACCCTCACCCGATCGATATAGAGCAAAATTCGCATGTCTAAGACAGTTCAACCATTATTCTTGAGACAACCGCGAAACCCCCACTAATCAATTTTCACACATCCAGCTCCCCAAGCTCCTTACTAGTTGGTTCCTCTCCCGAGCTCCCAATCTGCAGTGTGACATACGGTGGAAAACGCGATCCATGTTTAAACCTCCTCGCTAAACCCGATTGGGCTTGATAGCCGCTGATAAACTTTGCAAAATTGACTGATCGGAGGGCGGGGTGGGTCCTCCGACCACAGCAAAAAAAGCACGTGGATGATAGTCAAACAATGCAAACTGGCCTTCTCTCTTTTTATTCGAACTCTTGTCTTGTGTGTAATTCGTCGGGGTTACACTACATTTATATGTACAAATGGGGTTTGCGTCCCTATGGGAATTTTTGGTCTTTTACTTCGTGATTTTTCTTCTTACAACTGGGAGTAATTTTGAAATATTGATTGCGTGGGATTGTGGTGAATACTGCAACTTCGCAAGGACATAGATCCGAGCCCGGCCTTCGTTTCTATCTATGCCGTGAAATAGACCACCAGAAACCCGACCCAGCTACCAACCACTCCCAGAGCGGAATAACTGCTGATGAACATCAACGGGAGGAACTCATAGCGTCCCAGCCCGAAGATGAGCTGATGTCCCACGGAACAGTAGATGATGAGCGGGATGGCCACCGTCAGGTACAGCAACGAGAAGCGGTCGGCATAGAAGACGCGACGTCGCTCCGGCACCGGTGCCACCTGGTCAAAGGCGAAGAGGAACAGGATCAGCCAAAACACGGTGTAGACCGTCTTGAACGGGAATTCGGCGGCAGTGAAGAGCAGCGGGAACAGAGAAACATGGCCGGCTACCGCGAGCGGCCGGAATGCACTGAAATACCGCCGGTCTTTGAGCGCGATCAGACTGAAGGGGATAATGATGAGGAGAACGGCTTTTTCGTGGACGTGCCAGCCGAAGAGAAAGGATGCGTAGCCGCACAGAGTAACGGCGCCGACGAAGGTCTCCCAATCTGGCCGACGCCAGAGCTTGATCAATGGCAGCTGTATGGCAATCAGCGCTGTGGCTTCACAATGGGGGCGGGGGGCAACGGTGTACTTACCAATTGGAAGAGAAATGTGAGCGCGAATGTATGCTCCTTGGTCACCTCTGGAAGAATCGCAAATGAAGTGTCGCCAACGAGGCCGCGCGTAACACTGGTCAGAGCTTCCTGATTGACTGGGAGCCCCAGGCGAGGAGCAACTACCAAACAAAGTCAGTCAAACCATGCAACTATACCCCGGGATTGAGTACGAACGTGGAATTAGAGCGCGATCAGCAAACGAGTACATTGCCCAGACGTTTGGCGCCCAGTAGGCATGGCATAGCCCTCTCGAGAACGGAAAGAGTCTGTCTTTCAGTTGGAGTAATTGGCCCCAAGAAGCGAATGGGCCAAATGCCAAAGCGAAGATACCCACAACACAAATTCCCAGCTTGATCGTGTTAAGAATTTGAGGCCGGAAGACCGATTTGGGGTCCAAACAATAGGCTCTCAGCAAGTAGACGAAGTAGGCGAGGGAAAGATATAGGTAAATGTGCTTGAAGCACAGCAGTGCAGCAAAAGTGATGCCGCTGTAGAGCAACGTTGACTGCTTTCGGGCTAGAACAATCGACAGGATTAAAAGACCGTAGAGAAAGCCGTTATATTGGAAATGAATGTGATCAATAATGAGCAGCCCGGGAGACAAGAGGATGGACAGGCTGGCGATATGCGCGAGATGTCTGTTCTGCTCAGGCACGGACTTGACGAATCTGAAGGATGAGTAGGCCTGGTCAGCTGGAAACCTAAGACACAAGACAGAATATGGGAGAGGAAATATACCTGCTGAGCGCGAACAGAAGGACAAGTTCAGTGACAATCACCGTAGCTCTCTGGTAGTATACCGTCTGCCACGAATCATGGTTGAGATTCTTGACCACCAGCATTGCAGGGTCCACATAGGGAGCTGCTTGTGAAAGAAGCCATTCGAAGGCTGCGAAGAAGGGAGGATAATCGAGGGTCCATTCCGACGTTTTCTTGCCGCCATTGACTGGTCTTAGCTTGATCGCTCAGTCTCCCGTGATGGTGGTGTCATCGTACCTCGTAGTACCATTCCTGAACGGGCAACGAATGTGTGATCGCAAGCCAGTTCCGATGCACTTCGAAGTCCGTAGATTTGCTGTAATGGAGGCCGGTGGTCAGCATCAGTCGAAGAGGACCATCGGGGAATTCTTGCCGACCACGTACTATGCGGGGAAAAGAAGAATCTTGAAGGCTGTCGCGACGATGGCGCACTGGGCCAATGAAGGGTAAAGCTCAGTCATTGGAGAGACTGCGCATGACGCGCTCGCAGAGGCAGTGTGAAAGGAGAACAAGAAGAAAGAAAATGAAAGCAAAGGAGTGAAGTTAGGACTGAAGAAAGGTGACGATCGGTGGAATAGTTGGTAGTTAAGGTACCGTTAGTTGCATGCCAATCCGGGGGAATTGACACGTGATGACGGCGGTCAGGGACGGAGACTCGATGAAAGGCCAGTTTGTCCCTTAATTATTGTTTTCCCCCTCAATTGCTTTATTTAGTCCCTTATATTCAGATAATGGACTTGGCCACCGCTTCGGACTTTGGAGTCCGTCATTCTCACGTCCTCTCCTCGGTCGAAATCCGTCACTTTCTTGACATCTCTCCTGCTACTGCTTCAATCGCCAAGGAACTTCGTGTTTGCGTGATCGCCATTGTGGTTGGGTGGACCACTTCGCGCATTGTCTCCGCGTTGTTGAACCGCAGAGCTCCCTCTGACCAGTGACGATCTTCCCACTGATACATCCGACCTAGCTCTAGCTCTATTTGCTTCTTTGCAATCTGAGGTGTCTTGCTTGGGGTCCTTTTTCTTAGTGCCATCCTTTGCCTTGTTGTCGACCCTTTTCTTTCGATCCCCTGCTTTATTTGTTCCAGTCTAGAGTGACAGCGTCACTAATCCTCGACGAATCTCCCAATCAACCGACGTCATGAAGACCCCCGCCTCTTTCTTCTCTTTCCTCGCCGTTGCAACTGCTCAATCTGTGATTGAGGGCTCCAGCTTCGGTTATGGCCCTGCGTACAACTCACCTTCCTTACTCTGTGGCCGCACCCTGCTTTCCGACTTCATGCTGACCTCGACGTAGGCTATCACGCACACCGAGTTCAGGTTTCATTCCGGGCTGGGAAGTGAAGGGCGAAGCGCATACCCCTGATATTGTATGAACTGATCCCCGTGCCAATTGCGACAATCTTTGGCTTTCCCAAGTGCTGACTGCGTTCTAGCTGTCTAACAAAGTCATTCTCACACCTCCTTACCCTGGAAATACGAGGGGATATGCTTGGGCTGAGTCTCCGTAAGTTATCAACGAGGCGACAACGGCTTGAATGTGTTCTTATATTTCCTAGTATAACTCAGTCAGAATGGACTGCGGAGTTCGAGTTCCGAGCAACGGGCCCTGAGCGAGGAGGTGGTAACCTGCAGGTGTGGTATGCGAAAGATGGGAAGGACAAAATTGGGACTTCCAGTATCTACACTGTCAACCAATTCGACGGGTTTGCCCTGGTCATTGACAGCCATGGTGGAAGAGTATGTGTATGGCCCGTGTGTATGGAACCGAGCATGGCTAAGTTGTCGCACAGGGAGGCAGTGTTAGAGGATTTCTCAACGACGGCTCGACGGACTACAAGAGCCACAGGAGCGTGGACAGCCTAGCTTTTGGGCACTGTGACTATCCCTACCGGAATCTTGGGCGCCCTTCTAGTGTCCGCATCAAACACACCAACGCAGTTCTGGAGGTTACTGTCGACGACAAGCTGTGCTTCTCGACTGATAAGGTAGCCTTGCTCTGCATCTCGGATCATGTGGCCTGTGGCTGACCTCTTTTAGGTTACTCTCCCAGCCGGCAACTACTTCGGTGTCACCGCTGCAACCCCCGAGAATCCTGACTCTTTTGAAGTCTTCAAGTTTGTCGTCAAGTCCGCCGAGTCTGGAGCTGGCAGCAACATCCCTGTTCAGCAGCAGAATGTCGATCAGAACCAGCAACCAATTGCTGCCCAGGATCAAGGTACTCAGCAACAGCAACAGCAGCAGGAAGCTCGCTTGGGAGACGCTCGCTCGGTGACTGAGCAGTTTGTCGATCTCACTGGCCGCATTCAACTGATCAACCATGCTACGAACAACATCGTCCGCGAGATCGGTAACCAGGGAACCAAGAGCGAGAACCGTCATGTGGAATTGCTCCAGAAGTCGGCCACCAAGGACCAAGTGGCCAGCCTTGAAGCCAGACTCCAGAAGATGGAAGACATGCTGCAGGCCATCCAACGGGATCTGGCAGGCAAGGACTATCACGGCCGGTTCTCCCAGTTGCAGGAGACCTTGCGCTCATCACACTTGAGCTTGACCCAGGAAGTTCTGAACGGTACGCACGCTTCCCCTCTGCACCAGAAGATCCATCCGACATCATTTGAAACTAATGACTCCCTATTCAGGCATCACCTCTTCCGCACCCCGCATGGGATTCTTCATCTTCTGCATCATCGCCTTCCAGGGTGTCCTTGCCGGTGCTTATATCCTCTACAAACGCCGCCGCAACAACATGCCCAAAAAGTTCCTGTGAATCTACTCCTTTACAGTGAACCTACAACACAGCTTGCGCAAATTTCGTTTAAGCCTGGATCTCCTTCCCTGTTCTGGACCCACAACTTCGCCATGGCTCATCCTTCGACCGTATCGGAGCCGGCTCACACTCCTGCAACACATCAACTCCCACGGCAGCAATCAAAGCAACCCGCCCCCGCCCACCCGTATAAGAAAATCAGCAAAAACCCCCAAAGGAAATCTACTTGACAAAGAAAAACAAAACAACACTTTGTATACCACACACGCACCGTTGATTTCAAAGTCCCTGGAAAGGAATCTGTTAAAGTATCTGAGCGTATCAGCCCTGCTTTGGTCATAGAATTTAGTATCGGTGAAGTTCTCCAAGAGAAAGAAAGCCCTTCTTGCAATCTAGAGTTTACTGTATCCCTGCTTTCATGCAATGCGTTGCATCTCTTCCCCGATAATAGACATGTCTCCCCACTGACTTGGGTAAGAAATCCCAAATCCATTCGACATCCGGGCTAGACATCAGACACCACCATGGTTCCCCTTACTAGATGCATACAAAATGTAGATGAAAGCAGAATGGACAATCTCTAGAACCCAATCATAATGCCGGGGACTGTAGCTGTACGAGGGGAATTGGAGCGCAATGCAGCCAATTCTACAAAATCCCTACGACGGGCGGCAAAAAGGTCAAATACGAAAAAATGAATTCAGAGCTCGATAACCTGTTTGTCTCTTCGCCCCAATGCAAACTGCTAATGAGAGACATGTTCCATGCGTTGAGATGCCACCGGCGAACGTTTGAGAAACCTGACTAATACACAATAAAAGAAAAGTGCACAACATAATGAATTCCATGAGGACTTGAGATCGGCTACTTTCAGCAGCAGTCTCAAAATGAGAGGAGTTGTTCCTCTCTAGTCTGCCCTGTCGATCGCCGCTCTGCAGCAGGCCTCCTTCGATGGAAAGTACAGAAAACAAAAAGCCAGGCATGCTCCCTTGGACAGAGAAAAGGTGAACCTTTCTAAAAATGATAGAATAGAACCGCCATGAGAGAGAGCTGGTAACGCCGAATGTCCATGAACAACAACAGACACAAAAAAAAATGAAGAACACAAAACCGTCGTCAGAAAACAAAAAGTCCCTCAAGATAGCCGATGCGGAAATAATGATATTGCGCCCAATGGTATGTTTTCTGAATCTTTCAAATGGTTGAGACACTGAGTGGTCCGACATGCAACAGCAGGCCTGGTAGGGATCTATTAGAAAAACGCTCTCCCTTCTTGTAGCCCATGGGACGGGCCATCTGCGAGAGGTGGCAACTTACCTCTTAAAAATAACATCACAGCAAATAGACAAATTATCGTATCAAATCGTCGTCATAATAATAATATATGCGTGGCTTGTGTGCCACAGTAAAAATAAAACAAACAGTCGTCTCTCGAGCACCGCTTGCATCCTCCGAAGAGAGGATGTTCGTGGGGCCGGGGCCCGAGCATCGACCGGCGCATCCGGGATTTAGTCGTTTATGACTATTGTGGTTGGGCTGATATATCCCGGATGCGCCGGTCGATGAGATCCTTCAAGGCCTGTAGCGAGGCTATCTCAGTGTCGGCTGTGGGGCGGATCTCTGGAGCGTTCGCACGGAGTTGGTCAATCAGCAAGCTCATTCTATCGTTGGCACCTGGAGGAGTGATATGCTCCCGCTGAGCAAATGAAAGGAGGTTGGCTGCAGCTTGGCGCTCAGCAGTGGTGCGGGAATTCGAGATTGTGGTGCTCGCATCCTCATCGGTCATTAGGGGTGTCTGTGGGGGTAAGGCAGCACGGGCGTGCGACATAATCTTGTCGTACTCGGCGGTTGCATGATCGAGGAACTTGTTCGCATTGGCTTTCAGTAGTTGATACTCCGCGTTTTCTCTGTCGGCAGAGTCAATATTGGTAGTCGAGTCACAATTCATGGGGGCTACTGGCCTTTTGACCTGGCTAATAAAGGTGTGTTTGATTCCATGCTCGGACACGCGGTACCTGACGCTGCCTTCTTCCTGATCTTCCATCTGGGTGATCTCGTCGTCGGAGAGGAGAACGTCTATATCGACCATCCGGGGGTGCTTTGGCCGGCGAATACGCTTGTAGACATCGTATCCTTCTTCGTCCTTGGAGGCGTAAACGTAATCATGCCAGGCGTGATTAGGGCAAATCCAGTTGTGATGCGCGAGATCACTTCCTGGAACTTGAGCGGGGGGCGCGGCCATAGGCGGATCAAGACAATCCAGATGCCAGGATAGTGGACAGACATCGCACTGGATGATAGGCCGACCGCTAGCGGCACTTCCTGCGCACTTGAAGCAGAAGATGGGAGTCCCTAGAGCGTCCACCGTCCTCAGCAAATGAGAATCGTCGTAAGTACCATTACGGTAACCACGTCGACCTTTAGGCTTTGGCATTGGAACTATGGCCTCGTAGGATTGACCGTCTTTCTTGTTCACCCTAACACCGGCGAAATGATCCCGAATACGGGCTGGAAGCTGAAAGTCCTTGACATCCTTTTTGCCGAAGCGCTGATCAAACTTGCTAGTCAAAGAACGGAAGGCCCGTCGCATGGCACACTTGGGGCAATACCAGTCTCCCTCCGGAGGGTTGTTTGGGTCTAGTGGGGGTTTCAAGCATGAGAAATGGTAAGAATTAGTACAACCGTCGCAGCAAAGGAGATTGCCGCTGTTGTTGCATTCGTGGCAGATCTCGTCGTTGTCAGGTCTCTCGTCTTCAACATCGCTACCATCACTACCATGCATGTTAGCCTATAGGACACCAGCAGTAAACCAGAAGGAAGAGTGAAGCAGGAATTGTGGTGCTTACACCATGGTAGGCGTGAGTCGGCGGTTGTCACCAGCTTCACTGCTGGCTCGACTGTCGGAAAGGTTTTCTGCAGTTTCTCCAGAGGATGCGAGAGGGGCTGATGCTACAAATTCAGCTGAGGGAGCGGGAGCAACTGGCTGAGCTGGAGGGGGCGTTGGTGCGGAGGGATGGGCGAAAGGGGGAGTAGGTGAGCGAACTGGGGTTGGGATATCAGTAGGGTGTAAGGGTCGGACTTGACTCTCAGCAGGGACGATGGTTGGCAGTGGTGTCCGAAGCTTAATCCGCTTCACCCTGTCTATTCTGTCTAATTCTTCAGACTGCGTCTCGTCCTCTTCTAAAGCATGCTTCAGTTGAGAGCTGACCGTTGTTGGTGGCATAGAATGGCGAGCTGTGAGGTCTGCTGCACCTTTATTGAGTCCGGCGGAACGGGTGTGTTTGGCCTTTGCGCGGGGAATCTTGATTCCAGGGGCTGACCCTGGGAGCTGTGCTGAGACCGCCCCGGCCTCAACGTCCTCAAATGTATTTAGTGAAGACAACGACGAAACGCTACTAGCCGATCGAGCGCGAGGCACAGTTGGCATTGAGTCAACCTCTGTTTCCCCTTTGTCCTCGTCTGCCTGTGCGCGAACCTCTTCTGCCTTTACCTCGTTCCAGGCGGCCCGCATGATGCTCTGAAATGCTGACTTCTCCCGCGAGCCAGGATTTCCTTGGCATACACCCTCCAACACAGATAATGAAAAGGGATCATTGGCACAGGATTCCCACAAGCGGAGGAGCCCGCGGCTTACCGGGATGTTGTCGGTCTCTGTTGCCATCCGTAGAGCCTCCTTGACGGCCACTTGGATCTTCTCCACGTTGAAGTCCGCGGAGGTGGGGATGGGAAGCGCCGCAAACGCGGAAATGTCAAAAAGTGAGCTGGCCTTCTGTGGCGCAGGCTCATTGGACTCGACTCCAGACCTTCTTTTGGCAGGTATTATGGGTGGAATTGTCTTGGGCATCACGCCGACCTTCCGCAAGTCTGCCGGAGAAGGTCGAGTCCCTAAAGGGCGCATCGTGTTCAGAACTGGGTTCCGACTATCACAGTGATTTGACCATGGGCTATCCGCATAGCTAGGGGCTGGCGCTCTTGCAGGAGGCTCGGCCCAGTCTTTGCTTCCATTGTCCTGCGACTCCGTCGCGTTCTGTAGCGGAGCGGTGGCCTCCCGCGAGTCTATGCCCGTGCGCCGTTGCTTTGCGGGCCTCGTGGCTTCGGTGACTGAATTAGTTGTGCTTGCCATCATGGGCGCATCAGGTGGTGTGTTAGGTCGGGAGGGAATAAGGGAGGAAGAGGAGCGGAGGGTCGGAGCCATTGCTGTAGACAGGGCTCGGGAGGTACAACGACTGCAGGCGCTGGGTTAGCGAAGAACAGACAATAGGCATTAATTAGCCCGAGAATATTGTCAGATAATACTTACTGAGGTAAATGACTCCAAGCGAACACCGAGCGTGCCCAGCGTGGCTGGTTGGAATCGAGGCCAGCCCGCGCGCTGTCTGCGGGTTGAAGAAAGGAAGAACCGCGGAGTTCGCCCGGAAGTTTTCGAGGGATCCCAAGCAGGCTCCTAAGGGGGGGGTTGTTGCGGAAGCTGCCACAAACACCAAAGTCAGCACGTCTGCCCTACGTAAAGGACAGTTTCAGCCTTGAAATGTCTAAGTGGTAATTTTGTTCAGGGAAAAATTACCGTCAATGATGGATCCTGTTTCTTGATAGCTTCTCAGCTACCGATCCTTGCACAGGCGCGCAGAATAGCCGTGTAGGGCACAGGCTCTGGGGGTTCCCGTTCACCTGGACAAGTGCAGATTAAGTTCTGTCGCGCTGCCAATTTTATGACAGCGTAGAAGTGAATGTTAATTTTGAAGATCTCGCGGTACTCGATTGAGATATTCTCAAAGGAGCAGTGAGCCTATGATCTGGTCAGCCACGGTTTGGTCCCCTAAGTAGTTTCGCCAACACCGATGCCCAACCAACACAATTGGCCCAGACTGGAGTCCTCCAGACTTGATTTAGGGGCAGTCAGTTTTGGCTATCAGCAATTCATCTGGACTGAAGCAGAGGCGCATCTAAAGTAGAATGCCCGAATAGATCTCTGCTCTTGCCAGAGTACTGGCACATGGCAATGGCTCTTAAAGGCAATGGGAAGACGTAATTTGTGGCTATGAAAGCCCACTTACCAGGAGAAAGTAGAGCACAAAGAGCTATCGCGTTCAAGCTACCTGTCACTGCAGGTGCGGAACAAGCCTCTTGGTCGAGTCACGATCAGGCCGCGGAAGTTAGGAGATAGAGACGAATATCGAGACTTTAGGAGGTTGACAAGAAGGAATAGACCAGCAGGTATCCTAATACAGAAGTGCACTAATTTCGATGCCAAGAGAGAGATTGGAACCGATGGAACGAACGGAGAGTGGTAGAATGGCAGTTCGGAGGCAAGTGCGCAAAGATGGAAAACAAGTCGGCAACAGAATTGAGGCCTGAACGCGAAATGTCCTCAGTTCACACTGAGAGGCAGAAAGCCTGCTGATAAAAGCTGGGAAGAAGAGTGAAAATGGACGTTGTCACGGGTAGGATGATGATGGAAGTGATTTCGAGACAAGGATGCAGAGCTACGATGCTCTGGTCACAGCAAGAGAAATGAGGCTACGCATTCAACGCGAAGGCACTCTCGTGGTCACGACTCTGTCGAAAGGAGAGAGATTTGAACGATGATGGTGGGGGTGTCAATGATCTCGGGATGACAAACTGACGAGGTGAGGGCGTCTGTACGCAACGCGCCAGATGTTGTTTCAGTGGGTAAAAGATCTGCAGGATCTTGGAAGGTCTTGATATTGAGCAGATGGATTCAAGAGACCGAGGAAGAGGGGCTAGATAGAAAGGAACACAGCCAAGTAGGAAGGTGTGATGTAGCGAGAATCGTGCAGTGGCAACAACACCAGACACGTTGAGAGATGTAGCAGCTCCGGAAGCTAATAAACAAGAAGCCGCTGTGATGAGTTGTTTAAAACAGGTTAAACGTCTAATAGAAGACAGTAAAAGCTTTGATCTTGGAGATGAGAGGTGAAGGCGTAGGGATAGCTTGACTCTGATGAGCAACGCGTATAGAGGTTCTATGTGGTGGAGGAGAAGATGAAGAAGAAGAAGATAGGAAGTGTAACGGTGATCGAGGGAGAAAGAAGTGAAGGATATCTGTCTCTGAGTAGGCGGAGAGAAAGATAACAGTGCTACAGTTGGTAGCTCAGGGAGGTTGGTGTTAAGGACGAGATGTCTCGATGCTCTCGGGACTTCGGGGAAGAGGGATGTTGGGTTGGGTGGGCCAAGTGAAGGGGGTGAGGGTGGGGGAGACCTTCTTCACTCAGTCAGTATTCGGCCAGCAGAGGCAGCAAACACCAAACTGAACAGCTGCCTTGCAACACGCTGACTTTGGTGGCCGAACCCGAATATCTAATAAGAGGAAAATGGTGTTTGAGAAGAAAGATGGAAGACGAGACGGAGAGGTTCGGGTATTCTCTCAGTCTGGCTCACTGCTCATTGCCTCCTCCTCTTCTTGTCCCCTTTGGCTGCTGTCTATTCATACTAGGTACAACTTGATAACACCTCCTCGAACCTGTCTGGTATGTTTCTGAAATGCTACGAGTCGCTTGGAATTAGCGAGTTCGTGCCCGTATGATCTTGGGGCCTTCCTGCCTTTGCGTCGGCGGGCAGGCAGATCAAAGTCCTTTCACACACCACGTGAAGCAATCTGATGATCTCCTATCCCCCAACTGCAACTAAGCCGTAGGGTTCCCCTCCAATACAACTAGCCCCCCTGACGGTCAAAGTGATATCAAGTCGTGTTAGGATTTGGTTGTCGTTCAACATGAGCGCTTCCGGACGTCCTGCCCAAATTGGTGGACAGGCGATCATGGGCTGAACCAGCGAATCTCTCAGAAAAATTCCATAGGTCTTTGTCAAAATAGTGAGAGTCAAGATGCAGCTAGATGCACTTCAGCGCCGAAGAAATGTTGACCCACAGGCCATGCAAAGGGAGAAGGATGAAGGGTCAATCAAATGTGTGTGCTCAGCACTATCCTGACCTAGCTCAAAAGATGAAATTGTGTAACTACTGCTCTCGACTCTCGAAGATTTCAAACCACATACCTGGGTTGGCATAAAATCTGTCTGAGCCACAACTAAGATAGAACAAATAAGCCCCAGACTCAAGGAACTTGGCAGGAACTGGCTGACACCAGCTATCATGATCTTCATTGGTGAACTGTATCTGGCTTGGTTTCACTGGACATATACAACTCTTCCTCTTTTTGAACTAATTTATGTGACAGCATGTTTTCAACAGGGAACTGCGAGGGAGAGGTGGTCCTCCCACCAGACTTGTCTCTGGCGTTCAGCATGGCGACAACAACCCTCCGGTCTCGGAGAAGGCCCAACGGGCTCCGATTCTCAAAACAAAGCACCATCATGGCGGACATTGCCAGGGCTTTGGAGCCACCAAAACTCTCCCCGAGCAGTTGTCATATGCGTTTATGTGAGCCAAAACGCGGTTCCCGGAACTGCGTCAAGTGAGGCCTGATGCAACGATGCATTTACTCCTCATCCTTGGAGTCCTCCGTTTTGGCGGCCTTCTTCTTCTTGTTCTTGTTCTTCTTGGAGCCAGTAGACTTGGCCAAGGGACGCTCAAGGATCTCGAGAATCTCCGCGTCCTCGATCTTCTTGTCGGTCTTGAACTTGGTAAGATCGGGAGTGGTGGGAGCAGTAAGACGGGTGATACCGTTCTTGGTGATGGCTGCATTGAGGGTTAGTTTCAGTCTTGTATGGCAATTACCCCATTCACCACCAATTGCTGATGGAGAGTGGAGATAGGGGATTCATACCAATGGTAGACAGCACACGGGACACGGCAGCGTTGTCAGCATCACCGGCGGGCTCGTACTGTCTCAGGACACCACCACGGACACACTCAACGACACCAACCTTCGCGGCCTTCTCGTCATCCAGCTGACGCAAGCTGAAGGGGAAGGTGCCGAACTTCTTGACAACCTCAGACAGGGTCTGTCTAGAGCTAGGGCGCTTGAGGCCATAGGTGGTGGTGGTACGGCGGTGCAGAGTAGCACGGTGGGGAAGAGTCTTGACCTTTCCGGATCCGAGGGACAGTCCGAGTTCAATACCCCAGACCTCGCCGACGTCGGGAAGACCCTCACCCTTGACACCAGTGCCGGGAGAGAGGATGATCTTCTTCTCGCCCTCAATCTCGTTGCGCTGGAACAGCCAGCTGGTGGTGTTCTCGACGACGTTGCAGTCGTAGACCTTGGCAACCTTCTCAATGAGCTGGGTGATCTGAGCCTGAGTGTAAGGCTTCTGGGCGGCGGCCTTCTGCTTCTCCTCCTCAGTACCGCTGGCCAGAAGGCCGGCAGGGACCAACAGTCTCAGGAGAAGCTCGTTGGCGTAGTGGGTGGCGTGAATCAGGTCAGCCTCGCGGCCAGTCACCTCATCGGAAGAGGAGTTGCTGTCGGCAACAATGACCATGTCGCAAACAATGGTTCCGAAGCCATCGATCTGAGCACCCAGCTGGATCTTAACAACCTCACCAGCCTTCAGGGTAGTCTCGGCCTCGGCAGCATCGGACACCAAAGGAGTGTAGGGAGTCACATAGGAGTTGGGAGAGACAGTGGTAGGGTGAGAGATACCTTTTGCGACCAGGTCGCGTCAACCATCATGCTCTTAAAAGTTTCACTTGCAGAGGCAACATACCCTTGGCGATCTTCTTGCCCTTGTAGACCTTGGCAATCTCCTCCTCGAGGAGCTGGTCACCCTTCTGGCAGAGCTCGACAATCTTGCTTCCCTCAACACACCATCCTATACATTGGGGTTAGCACCGCCCCCGAGGAACTATGCGACAGCCCGCTTTTGAGGCAAACGGCAGGAAGAGACACACCTGAAACGGCTTCCAAGACCTTCTGGGAGATCTGAGCAGCGGTCTTGTACTTGGTAAGGGTGTCGGGGTTGTTGAGAGTGTAGTCTAGAAATGATCGTGTCAGCGGCTACTTGTGCGCAAGAATACGGCAAGCAGTTGTGAGTAGCATCACAGAGCGTGCTAGAATGCAAGGAGTAAAAATTGGGGCAGCCATGCGAAGGTCGCGATTGAGGGGTTAATCGAGGTGGCAGCGCAGCCCGTCAAACGCAGCCCGATCCATGACGATGGAAAACCAAGCGGGAACCCACAAACGCCGGAGGAGCTTTTTCAAATTGGTAGGAAGAAAGAGGAGGGGCAGCCAGCCAGCGTATTGAACAGAGGTGAATACATACCAACCTCGGGAGCCTGGG